AAAAATTCACAAGATTTTGAAAGTAAAATAGATCGATACCGCGTTTTTAAAAATCTATTTGATATCAGCATATGAAAATATATTTGAGTTTATTATTTTTCAAAGTGTCAGAAATGGATAACAAAACTGCTATTTTCAATGACTACTTATTTTTGTCCAGCTTTAACATCGGTATCGATATCGGTTATCGGCTACATGAGTTTTAAAATATCGGCATATCGGATATCGGCCAAAATCCCAATATCGTGCATCCCTAATTTTAGTTACTCTTAACCTGTTATTAGGACTGTACTTCTGTTTTTGTGCATTGCTGTTTGCACCTAATTACTAACATTAAAGTCATAGAGGACAGTCTTTTATTTCCATGCGGATCATCTAAATAAGTGGTCCTCCTAATTGTAAATCATTATGTTGATATGTTTACATAAGGCTTTTTCTGCGCACTTATCGGCGTATATCTGTGGTGAGCTACGATTCAGTCAGTCATTGAAGCTCGACTTTCTCACCACTGTTCCTTGACAATTGCTGAGGGTCGTAAGAGAAAAAGTGTCTACGAAGTGTATGAGAAGAAAAGAAAGGCCTTAATAGAGGCAGATATATCCCAGAATGCTTTGTACGTAGAGCTCTCCACGCAAAGCATTATGGGATTTGCTGTCTCAGCAGCCCGCTGTCGCCATAGGAATTCACTACCTGACAGCGGCGACTAATAACAAAGATGGCGGAGGCACCGCGCAGTGGAGGAGGAGTTACGTGACCAACAGGGAGCAAAAAGTAGTGATCAACTGTCTGAACGGTCAGTTAACTGAGTTCACTATGAAGTTCACTGTATAGTCCCCGCTCTATATAGTGATGGAGGGATTTAGGGGTTAGAGCTGATTTATACTCAGAAACCAGGTCGTCTGCATGTGTGTCGCAGTTAGGGTTGTCACGATACTAAACTTTTCAACTCGATACCGATACTGAGTAAAATATTCGATACTCGATACCCTTTTCGATACCACAAGAAAAAAAAAGAAAGACTCTAAAATTCAACAGAAATATTTTCATTACTAATAAAATACAAGAAATAATTAAAAAAACAATAAGAATAATATTTTGAGGTTGTATGCTGTGCACAATATTAAGCAAGCTTGATAAAAAACTTACAAAATTAAAATGAAGTGTTCCTTCCTTGGCTATGTTTTGCAGACATAACAATGCCACCCCGCCAAACCAATTAAACAAAAATAATTCCAAGCAGCTGTACCTGTTACAGAAAAAAGTGTGAAACTGAATAATGCAGAGAATTATTCAATCACACAGTGTTCAGAAAGTGCATTTTCCACTATTCTGCACTTTTGATGGCTGTGTCGATACTTTTAAAAATGAGTATTGTATCCGGATACAACGTTTCAGTATCGATACTTTTTTGAGTATCGATACTTTTGACAACCCTAGTCGCAGTGAATGCAAATGTGCCCCCATCCCTGCCGCAGACACTCTGCTGCACATCTCCAAAACTGTAAGTGGCCGCAGACAGGAGGCCTCTGATTGGTCAAATCTACATCCTCTCTACATTCGTATTTCCTGTTTGGTACCTTGCTGGCTTGTTTTGTTTGTGTGACCGCCGTTGTGCGATAACGCTGGGACCCTTTTTCCACCTGGATCCCCGCTCTTTTTGGCTCTCATGTCCCTTATATTGTCGCACAAACTTGCCTCCACTTCCTCACCGCCTTGGCCGTATCTAGAGCCATAGCTCGTTCCTGACTGGCCCTCTGGCGTTGTTGCTTGGAATAACAGCGCAGAGTACGCTGCAATATTGGGCATAAATCAAAAATATCTGAAACAAACTCACTGCGACACACAGGAGGATAACCAGGCCTTTAGGGCGGACATTCAGACACAGTAAGCTTCTATGAGCTAAACAGAGCATGCATGAGGAGTAATGGGTTCGTGAATGCTCTCGCACGCACGTTTTCTTTAAAGTGGAGAGGGCGGGTCTTTTAAAAAAATGGAGAAAATTCTCCACAATACCTTTTAATTCATCATAACTATATATGGATTTGTACCACCCCTCTGTAATTACATGCAGTTAACAGCTGATGAACTGTTTTCTGTTTTTGCTTCTTCCCCCGTCACTCTAGTTCCAGAGGTGCTTCAGCAGCGAGTTGCTGCTCTGGAGCAGGAGAGAGCCGAGTTCATTCGACTCAAACAGCAGCTTGAGGCCGAATTCAACCAGAAGCGAGCCAAATTCAAAGACCTGTACATGTCTAAGGAAGGTTGGTATCACAAGATTATAAACTTTATAAATCATATGCAAGGAAGCACCATTAAATCTTAAAAAACATAAAGATTGTGAATTGTTTTTTCTTAACTGTGCTGAATATGGGTTTCGTAAAGATGCAGCAAACCCTGTCATACCTTCCGTTTTATTCCTGGTCTGTTTAATCCTCCATCCGTCTGCAAATTTTGCTCATCCCTGTCCCATCTGATCCATCTTGGTCCCCTGTCTTCAGAGGAACTGAAGAGACAAACGACGGCCCTGGAGAACTCCCAAAGCGAGCTCAGCACTGTACATGCCCAGCTGGCTCAGGCCCAGGCTGAGATCGAGACCATCAAAGCCGTGGCCACCGTGTCAGAAAACACCAAACAGGAAGCTATCGACCAGGTCCGCAGCCAATGGCAGGAGGAAGTGGCCTCTCTGCAGGCCATCATGAAAGGTAAACTCCATGGCCGCTCCTCGTCTAGTCGGACCGATGTTACAAAATTAACACAATACACCTCAGGTTTTAAAAAACATAATAGGATTGTTCTGAATTCTGTGGTAAAGTGGTTTTTGATATTTCTCACTCTATTGGAAATAATTATGTATGTAAAAATAACCTACGCAGTAAAATATCGGAAATGAGAACCTTATAAGCTCAAAAGCTGTTTATTTTGTTTATTTTGTTTATTCTACCTCTGTGATATTGTAAGGAAGATTTCTGAGTTTTATTTGACGCAACAAAAGTATAAAAGGCAGCATCTGCAACTAGAGAAACAGTTTCTATTGTTTCCTGTCTTACCTTCTTGTTGGTATAATATGTTTTTCTTTATTTTGTGTTTCCTGGACGTGGTCGTCTTTTACAGTTGCCTTTTGTATCTATGCTTCTTTTTCTATCTCTGCTTCTGTCTCGTTGAACCCCAGTCGGCCTCAGCAGATGGCCGCTCACACTGAGCCTGGTTCTGCTGGAGGTTTATTCCTGTTAAAAGGGAGTTTTTCCTCTCCACTGTCGCTACAAGCATGCTTAGTGTGAGGGATTGCTGAAGAGTCAATGAGTCGATGCAATCAGCTGGTTTACCTTAGATAGAAAACTTTGAATCAATCTGACTGGATGATCTGGTGAACTGGAAAGTGCCTTGAGATGACATGATGTGTGAATTGGCGCTATAGAAATAAACTGAATTGAATTTTGTGGCTCTGCAGATACAGTTTGTGAATATGAGGTCCAGTTCCACCAGCGTCTGGAGCAGGAGCGAGCCCAGTGGAACCAGTACAGAGAGGCGATGGAGAGGGAACTGGGGGATTTGAGACGTCGCCTCACAGAGGGTCAAGAAGAGGAGAATCTGGAGGATGAAATGAAGAAGGTAGATTTATCCTTTTCTTTTTTTTTTCTTTTGCTGACCCTAACCCTAACATTTTTATTTGGACTTATTGATAATAAAGAATGACAATAGTCCAGGTTTGAAGCAACAAATGCATGGACTAGTTTCTCAGTGTTACTGTTTAAAAGCATATTTCCAATTCTGCCAGTGTTGTGTGGGCAGTGTTAATTTCGTCACTTTTTCCTTTTAATTTAGTCTTAATGACGAAAATCAATTTTAGTCTTAGAATAGAATTCAACTTCATTTTCATTCCACCGTCACAAGTACAGAGCAATAAAAGGAATTCTCTGCATTTAACCCATCCCCTCGGGGAGCAGTGGGCTGCCACTGTGCGGCACCCGGGGAGCAGTGTGCAGTTAAGGCAGGGGTGTCAAACTGGTTCCAGAGAGGGCCGTGTGGCTGCAGGTTTTTTTTCCAACCAAGTAATAGCACACCAGACTCCTGTCATCTCATCAAGTGAGTCCAATCTAACATGATGACTTGATGAGATGACAGGAGTCTGGTGTGCTATTACTTGGTTGGAAAAAAAACCTGCAGCCACATTTTCATTTTTTTTTCATTTATTGTTTATTTGAAAGGGGACAGTGTACATTAATAAACATTAAAACAATGTAAATATACCCGAGTTAGCTAAGGAGTGCTAATTTTCATCGGTAGTCCCCCAACGGCCCTCTCTGGAACCAATTTGACACCCCTGAGTTAAGGGTCTTGCTCAGGGACCCAGAATGGCAGTCTGTGGGAGTGGGGGATCGGACTCACACAACCTCAGGATACCCCCCCCCCACTAAATGACGCAAATCAATTTTAGTCTTGGTCAAATTTTTTGTCATTTTAGTCAACACTGTAAATAATAGAACTTCTCCACACACTGCTATTTTATTTATATAACACTGTGCAGAATAGAACTTCACACACTGATTCTCTTTTTAACACACATCCCATTTTACACATTTAACCTTTTGTCGGCTTGTTTCATCATATACACAAAGTCTTCATCCTCAAACAGACTTCTCTTCCTTCACCAACCTCTGATGTGGCTGTGATGTCACTGTGTCGGGTATCTAGTTGGGAGGAAAAAATTATTATTATTATCATATTTTTATCTTCTGGAAAGAAGTTTTGTGCGTCATCGTCTCATCATCGTCACGGGAAAAAGGGGTGTTAACGAAATGTTTTCGCCATCGTCTTGGTTGATGAAATTAACACTGTGTGGGTTAAAGAACTGAAATCTAGAAACCTATTTAAATAAGGGATTTAAATAAACTTTCCTGGTTTAAAAATAATACCAAGGTCTTTTAAGTTACTATTGAAGGCCAATTGAATGAAGAGGCTGACTGATCGGCTTCCTTTTCATTCAGAACCCTAGTCCTAAGATAACATTTCTGTCTTTTCGGGATTTAAATTTTGCTCATTTAAAGTCATCGTACCATCTCTTCAGATGGAGCAGCTGCCATGGTGCAAGTAAACGGTGCAGCATGCAATCAGGCAGAAGGAGGAAAGAGGCGGCGCAAGTTTTATTCCCAACATTTAAACACATTCTGTCTTGAAAACGGGATTAGAAAATAAGACAGAGTGTTTGAGTTTAAAGCTGTTAAATTGTGTGTTTATAGTCGTGTTGTCATGATACTAAACTTTTCAACTCGATGCCGATACTAAGTAAAATTTTCAATACTCGATACCATTTTCGATACCACAAGAATAAAAACAAAGACTCTAAAATTCAACAGAAATATTTTCATTACTAAAAAAATACAAGAAATAAATGAAATAAACAATAAGAACAATATTTTGAAGTTGTTTGCTGTGCAAAATATTTAGCAAGCTTGATAAAAAACTTATAAAATTAAAATTAAGTGTTCCTTCCTTGGCTATGCTTTGCAGACATAACAATGCCACTAGCCAAACTGGTTAAACAAAAATAATTCTCAGCAGCTGCACCTGTTACTAAAAAAGTCTGAAACTGAAAAGTGCAGAGAATTATTCAATCACACAGTGTTCAGAAAGTGCATTTTCCACACTATTCTGCACTTTAGATGGCTGTATCGATACTTTTGAAATTGAGTATTGTATCCGGATACAACGTTTCAGTATCGATACTTTTGACAACCCTAATTTATAGTCAGAAATAAACATCCAAACAACATTTTACTGGATGAGCAAAAGCAATGTACATCTTCAAAAGGGTTGGAGCAGATTTTCTTATGTTAAATACAAAAAAAAAGCTTCTCAGCTTCTCCTTGAATTTAGCTTAATATTTGAAGTTAAGATGCAGAGTGAACAGACATATTCAGAATGTTTGTCCCTAAACTGTTTTGTTGGTATTTTGTCATTTAAAAGGTGTTGTTTGTTTCAGGCTCAGGAGGATGCAGAGAAGCTGCGCTCAGTGGTGATGCCCATGGAGCAGGAGATCGCCGCTCTAAAGGCCAAGCTGGGTACTGCTGAGGACAGGATAAAGGAGCTGGAGGCCTCTAAGGTTAGTCTGCCTGTTAACAACATTTTTAAGGTGTATTTTAGAAAACAGCCTCATTTCAGAAAGAACATTCATGATAAATTACCTTTTTTTAAACTCCTGATCAATATTCTGCTGGTCTTTCTCAAAAGTTTTTATCTTGTTGAATTTTCACTTCTTAAAGCCGCTGTCACACTTTGACGGTGATGTGAAGTCCCAAAATCTCCTATAGCGCTGGCATACACTGAACTTTCTATGTATTTTTTTCAATTTTGGGGTTATACATAAAGTATCCATAACAAGTCCAGAACTTATGTCCAACAACGGCCTAACTTCTGCATAGCGCACGGCAGCATAATGCCCATGAAATGTCACAATTTAGTGTCCTGAGGGGGGCGGACGGAGGCACCCGGCCTCTACACACTGCGAAAAATTGAAATCTAAATAAGTCCTTTTTTTCTTAAAATAAGGGCGTTTTTTTCATGAATTAGGAGGTAAATGACACACTTTGCCAATGGAACAAGACAATTTACATTTAATATAAGAATAAAACAATTGCATTGTTTTATTTCAAGTGCATCATATCTAATTATCTTATTAAGACTAAAAATTCTAATTCCATTGGCAAATAATTTTATTTACCTACTAAATGTAAGGAGGAATAGACTTATTTTAAGAAAATTTTGCTTATTTCTAGATCGTTTTTGCAGTGTAAAAAGATGTCTTTGATTGCGGTATTAACCTAGCTGGTGTTTACCGCCCGCCAAAAAAATATAAAATGAAAAAGAAAGAAGGTTTTTAGTGGCAGCAGATTCAGCATCCTGTCTGCTAGGAAGTTTGTTGGTGGTGGGCGTGAACGCAGGGAGGATCCATCACTCACCTTCTGGCTCACCCTATGATGGGGATGAAGTCTGGAGGAGAACTGACGGTTTCCTCCTGTGAACCCCCTTTATACCAAAACGCTGCCGATACGCCATTATACAGTAGCTGGAAGTTAGAAACACGTTCAGCGCTCGTCTGGAACACGGCAGATACGTTGATATGTGACATTTTTTTATTTTTTTTATTAACCATTAAATCGGTAAATGGTCCATATAGTGACGCTTGAAAGTATAATATTCTCGCCTAAATAGATCTTAAAACTTACTTTTATTGTACAACAGCAACAGAAAAGAGAACTTTTAACCTAATCCTCTGAGCTCTGTGAGCGCTAAACCTGGAAGTGCTGCTGCTGCAGTGCATGCTGAGACAGCTGTCAATCTCAAGAACGGACAAGTCTGCTCTGATGCATGCTGGGTAAAGAGGGAGGGGCGAGAACAACATCCGGTGACTTTGATCGTTCTGGGTCTGCTGTTCTTGTGAATTGGGAACAGTACTAGGGCTGAGGCTGATGATGTTTCACGAGGACACGTGCACATGAGAACGCACAAGTTCACATATTGAGAAACGGCCAATATTTGTGCTTAGGACTCCCAAATAGCTAGCTAACTTTACCTTTTAACTGAAAATATGTGGCAGCCATTTTTTTGCTGCATCAGATTCCTTATTGGATGCACCTAATGCTAGCTTAATAAATCTGTCCACAGTTTCATTGTATAGTGAAAAAACAACCCTTAAAACACTGCTTGGGACTAGTAAAGTCACAGGCAAAGACTAACAGCCACCAAGTCATGTAGTGAGCTATGACCAAAACGTTTATGAAATTTAGAACACTGCAAATTGTTTTTAAGAAATGATCTCTCCTTTTCCGCTTTAGCTAATCAGGTAAATAGAATAAGATAGAATAGAAAATCCCTTTATTGTCCCACAATGGGGAGATTCTGGTATTTACAGAGGTAAAAACATTATAGAAAAAATTGTCACACAAATGTGTACCTTTAGAAAAATGTATAAGAATAACATAACAGTCGAGAGTTAAAAAATAAGCAATAGAATACTGTACTGTAAATTATTTTAACAATATAAACTGTGCACCTGGAGAATAAATAACCAATATGCAGCTATTTTTTTTTTTACAGTAAAGGATATTTCTAAATAACAGAAACATCAGAGATGTGCAAAATGACAGGATGAGGTTAACTGATTAAGGTAGAAACTGTGCAAAATCTGCATGAATGTAACAACTTATTGAGGTTGTTGGGAAAAGTGGTGGTTCTAGAGTCTGGGAGGAAGGATCTGTGATGACGCTCCCTGGTGCATTTAGGGTACAGCAGTCCGTCACTAAAGGAGCTCTCCAGTTCTGCAACAGCTTCATGCACCCCATGCATGAAGCTGTGCTCCAAATTTTGTAAAGATCAAAATCTCATCTATCAGGTTCCTGTAGCCACAATTAGCAACGTTGATGTGTGTTACGACCACCCAGGCCACAACATATTTGAGGACACGAGACAACATGAGGTTCAAAATAATTATTTTATTCTTAATCTCTGGAACTTCTTTTTAGATCAGTTGTTTTGTTTTTTCTGCAAAGAGAAAATAAAACAGAGCGTCAGATTTTTCCCCAGTTCCCCGTGTCCAAAAAAAACTCTAAGGAAAAAACAAAAAACAAAGTATGAACGGAAAGTTGGACCTGGTGAGCCGATCCAAAGAAACAAAACGTTACAGCAGAGGGCCAAGCCTATACTAGCCTCGGCTAGTAACGAACTAATGGTTAAAACCCTAATAAAAATTAAAAAAAGAACGAAAACAGGACAACCGGTCCCCAGGTCAAAGTTACAAAAAATCTGCAAAAAACAAAGGCTAACAAACAAAAATACCACATGGCAGGCTGGAGAGGTCAGCGGCGGCCTACAAAGACGGGAGACGTGCGCATCGCGTCAGGACGCGCTCCCTGTGACGGTGGCTCGATCAGAAGGTTCGAAGGGAGAGAGAGATGGAGAGGGAGAGAGAGAGACCCAGCCTACTTATAGGTGGACCAATATCACAACCAATTACGTCATCGAATCATTTACAAAAGAAAAAAGAAATAATTGTCAACTCTAATATTTAAGTGACTCAACTAAGCTCTATACAACACTAAAAGGGAAAAAAAGAAACAAAAATAATGTGCCCGACGCACATAACAATGTGAAACCATAAAAGTGTTCAATGTTAAAAACAATCAGATTGATTTATCTTCTACTTTAGGAACTAAAGAATCAGTCAAACCACAGCATTTTTTTTTTGACAGGTGAAGGAGCTCAATCATGTTCTGGAGGCTGAGAAGTCGTGTCGTACGGACTTGGAGATGTACGTGGCCGTGCTGAACACGCAGAAGTCTGTGCTGCAGGAAGATGCAGAGAAACTACGCAAAGAGCTTCATGACGGTTCGTTTCTGTGATTCTGACGGAAAGCTTTCTGATTTTAAATAACCTTTAAAGGCGTAGAGACTGAGGATCATGCTTGTAGCAGCTGCTGTTTTCACACAGTAGTCTCATTTCTAAGAAAAAGAAATGGATATGAAACTTCATCTCTTTTATTAAAGGAATAGTACACCCAAAACATGATTAGCCTTCATTTTCTACTCACCCCCATGCTGAACAACACCCTGGAGTACTTTTTTGATATCTCAAATGCATCTGGAGATCTGGGAGGCTTCTTGCTGTCTGCTGACATTCAAATAATGGAGGTCTATGGCGCCCGAGGCAGAAAGGTCTATAAAAGTCCTCAAAAAACGTGTCAATATTCCTCCATACTGCTCGTCCAATGTATTCCAAGTGTCCTGAGTGGGTAGCATCCAGAATTTACTTGAAACGAAGTCATTTAGAATGTTTTTAGAGCATAAACAGTAGTGTATAGGATTTCCTTAAAGCGCGTTCACAGCCCTATGGAAACCGCGGCAGACCAAACCAGATGAAAGTGCGCATTCAGCGTCTGCTCTGCCAATAATGCAAGCGTAGAAGAAGAAATGTGCTGTTTACCTGTGCAAAGAAAGAAACAACGAAAGAAAAATGTCTGAGGACTTCAGTGTTGAGGAAGAGCATGAGTTCTTTGCCGAGCTTTCAGGAAATCCTATACACTACTGTTTATGCTCTAAAAACATTCTAAATGACTTCGTTTCAAGTAAATTCTGGACGCTACCCACTCAGGACACTTGGAATACATACGAGCAGTATGGAGGAATATTGACACGTTTTTTGTGGACTTTTATGGACCTTTCTGCCTCGGGCGCCATAGACCTCAATTATTTGAATGTCAGCAGACAGCAAGAAGCCTCCCAGATCTCCAGATGCATTTGAGATATCAAAAAAGTACTCCAAAGTGTTGTTCAGCATGGGGGTTAGGGGTGTAAATAATAATCGTTTAGTATCGATGCATCGATCCAAAAGCCGACGATCCGATGCATTGACACGTCCGTAAGATAATCGATTCATGTTTTTTTCTTCTCCGGTCTACAGGTGCTGGTCATAAAATTAGAATATCATGAAAAAGTAGATTGATTTCAGTAATTCCATTTAAAAAGTGAAACTTGTATATTATATTCATACATTACATACAAACTCATATATTTCAGATGTTTATTTTGTTTAATTTTGATGATTACAAATGACAACAAATGAAAATCTCAAATTCATCATATCAGAAAATTAGAATATTACTGAAGACCAATAAAAACAAAGGATTTATAGAAATGTTGGCCAACTGAAAAGTATGAACATGAAAAGTATGAGCATGTACAGCACTCAGTATTTAGTTGGGCCTCCTTTGGCCTGTATTACTGCAGCAATGCGGCGTGGCATGGAGTCGATCAGTCTGTGGCACTGCTCAGGTGTTATGATAGCCCAGGTTGCTCTAATAGTGGCTTTTAGCTCTTCTGAATTGTTGGGTCTGGTGTATTGCATCTTCTTCTTCACAATACCCCATAGATTTTCTATGGGGTTAAGGTCAGGAGAGTTTGCTGGCCAATTAAGAACAGGGATACCATGGTCCTTCAACCAGGTACTGGTAGCTTTGGCACTGTGTGCAGGTGCCAAGTCCTGTTGGAAAATGAAATCTGCATCTCCAAAAAGTTGGTCAGCTGCAGGAAGCATGAAGTGCTCTAAAACTTCCTGGTATGTGGCTGCGTTGACCCTGGACCTCAGAAAACACAATGGACCAACACCAGCAGATGACATGGCACCCCAAACCATCACTGACTGTGGAAACTTTACACTGGACTTCAAGCAACGTGGATGAAGTGCCTCTCTTCTTTTCCTCCAGACTCTGGGACCTTGATTTCCAAAGGAAATGCAAAATTTACTTTCATTAGAGAACATGACTTTGGACCACTCACCAGCAGTCCAGTCCTGTTTCTCTTTAGCCCAGGCAAGACGCTTCTGACGCTGTCTGTGGTTCAAGAGTGGCTTGACACAAGGAATGCGACAGCAGAAACCCATGTCTGTCATACGTCTGTGTGTGGTGGTTCTTGAAGCACTCACTCCAGCTGCAGTCCACTCTTTGTGAATCTCCCCCACATTTTTGAAGGGGTTTTGTTTCACAATCCTCTCCAGGGTGCGGTTATCTCTCTTGCTTGTACACTTTTTTCGACCACATCTTTTCCTTCCCTTCGCCTCTCTATTAATGTGCTTGGACACTGAGCTCTGTGAACAGCCAGCCTCTTTAGCGATGACCTTTTGTGTCTTGCCCTCCTTGTGCAAGGTGTCGATGGTCGTCTTTTGGACAGCTGTCAAGTCAGCAGTCTTCCCCATGATTGTGTAGCCTATAGAACTAGACTGAAAGACCATTTAAAGGCTTTTGCAGGTGGTTTGAGTTAATTAGCTGATTAGAGTGTGGTACCAGGGGCCATCAATTTTGAACCTTTTCACAATATTCTAATTTTCTGATATGATGAATTTGAGATTTTCATTTGTTGTCATTTGTAATAATCAAAATTAAACAAAATAAACATCTGAAATATATGAGTTTGTATGTAATGTATGAATATAATATACAAGTTTCACTTTTTAAATGGAATTACTGAAATCAATCTACTTTTTCATGATATTCTAATTTTATGACCAGCACCTGTATGTTTATCCATTTGCTCCTGGACGTAATTCTCCCTCCCGTGCTGCGGTGGCGCTAAACCTATTTTGCCCTCCTACCGCGCTTCCTGGTTATACTCTTACAACAGTTTGTTGCAGCAAGCTTCACACAGACATTTTTAAATTATGCTCAGTATTGAAGCGTGGTCTGTGCTACACACTGTGGGTCTAGATACGGCCGAGGCGGTGAGGAAGTGGGGCGAGTTTAGTCCGACGACGGAGGGACAATGGGGCAAAAAGAGCGGAGATTCAGCTGGAAAAAGGGTCCCAGCGTTCTCGCTCATCTAGCGGGTCAAACTTCACAAGTTGTTTTCCGCAATTTCGGTCATAAAAACAAAACAAGCCGGCCTCCTGTCTGCTGCACTGTTTGCAATCAGCTACAATCCGGGAGAGGTCTCTCAAGGGGGCGGTGACGTCGTCACTCTGAAGCCTTCTTCTTCTTCTTTTTTTTAATGGCGGTTGGCAAACAACTTATAGGTGCATTACCGCCACCTTCCAGAATGGAGTATGGACCAGACAAACTATTATATTCTCCCTAAAATACCCGTTCTTCTTAGAAAATAAAAAATACTACCAAAAACTACATCCCCAGATGACCTTTGAAACAATTTCCTTATATCTAGTTTATTTTTATTCCTGTCTAACTCTCTACGCAACATCTTTCTTTCCTGAGTATATTTATTACATTCTAAAAAAATTTGTTGGACAGTTTCTCTGGAGCCGAGGTATTGCATTGAACTCATTACACTGATGTTGTGCAGTATTTTTGCAGTATTTTTTGATGCAACTTTTCTACTTCTGTTATTTGCTTTTGTTTCTAAAGAAAATGCATAATGATATTACAGCTTTCATTGATTTATTTCAAACTTGAAACTTTGTTTAGCCTGTAAGGTGTAAAAAAAAAAATAATAAAAAAAAAAAAAAATTAACCGATTAATCGAATCGAATCGTGGTGTATTCTTGAGTATCGAAAATAATCGAATCGTTGGGTCAGGAAATCGATACTGAATCGAATCGCCATGATGGATGTGATTTACACCCCTAATGGGGGTGAGTAGAAAATGAAGGCTAATCATGTTTTGGGTGTACTATTCCTTTAAGCGGGCAGTTTTATATTCCTGCTCACAATTCTCTATAAAAGTTCCTCCCACTTGGATTTTTGGGAAGTTTTTATGGTTTTGTTAATATGCTGCAGGTATTATGCAGCAATTTATGTGAATCAATTTCTCTGTCTTGTTCTCCTTAGCATCTGAAGAGAAATGTGTGACTTGAATCACAAAGCAGTAATGTGGTCGAGGCCGATGCCCTTTTTCTGGACAGTTGTTGATCGCTCTCTGCGCCTCTCTGCTGCTTTCAGTGTGCCACAAGCTGGAGCTGGAGCGGCAGCAGCACAACCAGCTGAAGCAGACGTGGCAGCGGGCCAACGACCAGTTCCTGGAGTCTCAGCGCCTCCTGATGAGGGACATGCAGAGGATAGAGAGCGTGCTGTCTTCTGAGCAGCTCAGGCAGGTGGAGGAGAAAAAGAAGAAGGATCAGGTACGGGAGCATGATTGATTGATTTTAGTTTGGTTTTTGCTTTAATGCTTTTACTTTGATGGATGATTGAATTCTGTTTTCCGTAATGAGTTTGGAAATAATAAATGATTGTCGGCTCACTGGGAGTTGATTAAAAGGGACACTGATGACAATGAAATACGTCCGTCACAAAGGACTGAGTGAAACTATAAAAACCACATCAGCTCCATCAAGCTTAATATGCCTGGTGCTCCTAGGAGGGTTAATGTATCGGAAGGTCTGAGATTTAATCAAATAATTTTTCTGATTAGGAAAAAGATTTTCAATTTATTGTGATTTTATTATCTAAAAACACTTTATTTACCACACGTACTCCATCCATCCATCCTGGTTCTCCCTTCAGCGTTAAGAAAACAGATTATACTGATAGAGCACAGCTCTGTGCTTTTCGAAGGAAATGGTTTGATGACTTTTAAATATAAAAGGCAAAAAAACAATAGTTTTTAGCTCTATTAAAACACACTGTACGATTTTTTTTTTTTACCCTTTCTGGCCCATTCTCCAGTCGTGCGAGAATTTTTTAATCAGACCGACTTTCAGCCTGATGGTGTGTCGTGTAGTATACAGGGAGTAATGAGAGCCGATCAGCCTCTCGCAACCACCTCCTAATCAGGAATCGTAAGGTCAGGAGAAAATCAAACATGTTTGAAATTCAGTCGGCCGTCGTGAGGTGTTTTCAGGAGCAAATCCTCACTGCAAAAAAATCTAAATCTAGATAAGTCAATTTTTTTTTTTAATAAGTGCATTTGTTCTTCAATTGAGGAGGTAAAAGAGACATTTTGCCAATGGAACAAGACAATTTACATTTAAAATAAGAAAACACAATTCCATAGTCTTATTTCAAGTGCATATTCTCTAATTATCTTATTTTAAGACTAAAACTACTCATTCCATTGGTAAACTATCTCAATTTACCTACTGAAATTAAGGGTGAATACACTTCATTTAAGAAATTTTTACTTATTTCTAGAACGTTTTTGCAGCTGTCGAAGCAGAGCTTTGAGCCGATTTACTAGAACCTCAAGCACTGCGCATGTGCAAACAAGGGAGTTCTTTTTCTTCTCTTCCAGATCGATGAGCCTGATCAGCATCATCTCACTGCAGAGCTGAGTCCGACGTGGTTTTTAGACGTGTAGTGTGAGCAGGTAGATCGCATCAGAGCGTCGGGTCGCACAGTGTGAGAACAAACATCGTGAGCTGTGAACTTTTAAACCATACAGTTTTGTCGTACAGTTTGATACGGAAGAGGATTAGGGCCATTGGGAAAAAAAAAAAAAAAGTTAACTGATTTTTAAATTTTATTTCAGTTTAGTATGGTAAAAAAGTCAGAATTCTGACTTTAATCTCAGAATACTGACTTTTTTCAGTCAGAATTCTTATATTAAAGTCAGAATTCTGAGAAAAAAGTCAGAATTCTGACTTTTTTCCCATGTTAAACTGAAAAAAAAATTTAAAAATCATTTAACTTTTTTTTTTTTTTCCAGTGGCCCTAATCCTCTTCCGTAGTTTGAGCTGCAGCTGCGTGCAACAATTGAAAATATCGCACAGTGTACGCCCACATTAAGGGAAATGCTGTTATGGAGTATCTTTGAGACAGCAGCTATCACAAGATGTCAGTCAGGATGTATTGCTCACTGCAGAATGGAGCCGGACTTTCCTACATTTCTGAAATACCATTGCGTCATTCACCATACCGTAGCAGCTTTATTTAAAGAGCATTTCAGACGCCTATAAGAGTAAAGTAGACGTTTGAACACTCCTGACAACTTGGCTTAAAAATATGTTTTAAATACCATTAACTGTCTAACAGCCTCATGTAGAGGCGATCGGTGCTCCCCTATCCTTATTCAAAGTACTGAGCTGCTCCTTTCTGCTGCGTGTTAGAAAATTAACACAAAAAAATATCTTCCTCACCTAGATCAGCTGCTAAATTATACATTTATGTATTTATGAAGAAATTAGTGGCTAATGTGGCTAGTAATAATGAAAGTAAAAGTTAAACAGTGGATCAACATGGAAGCTGACACTTTGAGTAGAACTACAGCAGAGAAAGTAGTGAGAACAGGTTTATCATTGTGAGTTTGTTAAAAGTCCCAAATACATGAATAAAAGTACAGTCTGGATCGGATAGATGAAAAATGAAAGATAACACTTAAAAAATTACAGATTGAGATTGATGAAACCTTTGCTCTGCACTATAGCTTCTACTTTTCCTTTGTGGGTGCAGAAGGAGGGATTTGCCCAGGGTGCTTAAAGGAATAGTACACCCAAAACATGATTAGCCTTCCTTTTCTACTCACCCCCATGCTGAACAACACTCTGGAGTACTTTTTTGATATCTCAAATGCGCACTTTCATCTGGTTTGGTCTGCCGCGGTTTCCGTAGACTCGTGAACGCGCTTTTAGGAACTCCTATACACTACTGTTTATGCTCTAAAAACATTCTAAATGACTTCGTTTCGAGTAAATTATGGACGCTACCCACTCAGGACACTTGGAATACATTGGACGAGCAGCATGGAGGAATATTGACACGTTTTTTGTGGACTTTTATGGACCTTTCTGCCTCGGGCGCCATAGACCTCCATTATTTGAATGTCAGCAGACAGCAAGAAGCCTCCCAGATCTCCAGATGCATTTGAGATATCAAAAAAGTACTCCAGAGTGTTGTTCAGCATGGGGGTGAGTAGAAAATGAAGGCTAATCATGTTTTGGGTGTACTATTCCTTTAATACAGGGTTCCCACGGGTCCTTAAAAAGTCTTAAAAGGCATTGAATTCTTCAAAATAAAATTAAAGCCTTAATTGGTATTAAAAAGTCTTAAATCAGTCTTTTGTAGGTCTTAATTTTTAAAACATCATAAATAGGAATATTTTTATTACGATTTCTTTTTGTAATCTAAATAAAACATTACAATTGACAATTTTTTTTTCTTTTTATAAAAAAAAAAAAAAATGGCTTGCCTTTATTGGTTCCGTCCTGAATGTCCGCCGGGACATTTGGGAGATGCACCATTAACTTTTTGTCTGGAAAATATGAGCAAGTGTAAATGTAACCAAAATTGTCTCCAGCCAAGAGTTTCCTCCACGGCTAAAACCAGGGAACATACATGAGGCTCAGTGGATTTAGTGCAAGAAGTCATTCAAGCTCAGAACGATGGGAATTAAGGCAGTGGAGTCGCACATGCGAAGCACGAAACACAAAGCGTCAAAATGGAGTTACAGAGAAACAGCCGGTATTTCTCAGTTTAGTTCCACCCTTGTCTCTGCAACGCCTCCACTTATCACCAAATCGAACATACTAAGAAAACCATACAAAGAAAAATAGCTGCAAAAAAGACTTAGCACTGGTTATGTTGTGGCTTTAAAACTGATTAGTTTTGTTCCCTGCTAAAACAAAGTTTGTGAATTCAGTTAAATAATTTTTCAAATATATCTGTCATTTGTGTGTTTTTAGCTTTCTTCCTGTATGGGAAGCTTTTCCAAATTTGAAACATTAGCGCAGTGGTTTATGTTAAAATAAACCTTTGGGTTAAGTTGTCGCAAGCAGGTTTTTCTTGTGTTTCTTGTGAATTTGGTCTTAAATTTTTATTTATTTATTTATTTATTATTTATTTATTATTTCTTAAAAAGTCTTGGATTTAACTTGCCTTACGCTGTAGGAACCCTGTATTACGTCAGAGCTGGAAACCGATTCAGGAAAAATCTGGGAACTCCAATGTGAGAAATATAAAGGAGCATAGAGTTTGGGTATTTGAAGAAAGAAAAGCAAAGCATTTTATTAAAGGTTCGGTTCGGTTCTACAGGTTAGCGCGGGTGTGACTGTAATCTGAGCCGTGATGAATCATAAAGCAGCCGCAGCGTGTCTGGAGGGATGAACTGGATCTGTCTAACCGACTGCTTCCAGGACTTAAAGGATTTGCTTCTAATGCTCCCGTACCACAGGGCACCTTGAGGGGTGTTATGGGCACATTTTTTCAGCAGACCAGAGCTGCTCTTGGGAATATGCATGAGGCCAGAGCCTCCATGTAAAATAAATGAGGCCATTAGGTTGTGTGTCCAGGCAGTGAGTCCTCCTTTTTATCAGATGTTTTAGTTGTTTTAGCATCACCTGGAAATATTAAGGATGTTCTACCTTTTTTTTCCAATTAATTTTTTTGTATTTTGATGCAATATTCTTCAGAAAAATCTTTAAAAGTAGCAAGGCAGTATAAAGTAAAAACTATTGTCCAATAAAAGGAGGTGACTGTGAGAACAATGAAGTCAGAGGAGATCCTCCTCAGTCTGTTTTTCAGTGTTCCCTTAAAATTATTATCTCTGATGGCAGAATTTGACTGGATCATATTAGATTATATAAGTTTATCTAATAAAGATGCCACTTAGCGAGCGTCGGAGGGGATAATTGTTGGGAGGGGGTCGAGGGATGTGTGACAAATTCCTATTAAAATCCTTTTTTTTTTTGTTGCAGGAGGAGGATGAGAAGGAGCGGCTAAGCCTGGCGAAGGACCTGCAGGAGGATGATGGAGCCGATAACACTGAGCCTCTGGAGGACTTCCTCGGCCTGAGCATTGAGGAGGTACGTGCGTCATGTCATCCGATCCCCCCCACAAGAGATGCACAGCAGCTTGTCTTTGTGCTACGTCATGTTATATTCCCTGGTGGTAATGTGAGCCTCTTCACCTCCACGCTTTGTCCTTGTCTGGTTTGCTCAAAGACCTTAAACTGAAAACAGTCAGTTTATGATATTTTGTTTCATTGTTGAGTCCCGAAGATTTTATATTGACTTTTATATTGATTTTATATATACAGGTGCTGGTCATAAAATTAGAATATCATGAAAAAGTAGATTGATTTCAGTAATTCCATTTAAAAAGTGAAACTTGTATATTATATTCATACATTACATACAAACTCATATATTTCAGATGTTTATTTTGTTTAATTTTGATGATTACAAATGACAACAAATGAAAATCTCAAATTCATCATATCAGAAAATTAGAATATTACTGAAGACCAATAAAAACAAAGGATTTATAGAAATGTTGGCCAACTGAAAAGTATGAACATGAAAAGTATGAGCATGTACAGCACTCAGTATTTAGTTGGGCCTCCTTTGGCCTGTATTACTGCAGCAATGCGGCGTGGCATGGAGTCGATCAGTCTGTGGCACTGCTCAGGTGTTATGATAGCCCAGGTTGCTCTAATAGTGGCTTTTAGCTCTTCTGAATTGTTGGGTCTGGTGTATTGCATCTTCTTCACAATACCCCATAGATTTTCTATGGGGTTAAGGTCAGGAGAGTTTGCTGGCCAATTAAGAACAGGGATACCATGGTCCTTCAACCAGGTACTGGTAGCTTTGGCACTGTGTGCAGGTGCCAAGTCCTGTTGGAAAATGAAATCTGCATCTCCAAAAAGTTGGTCAGCTGCAGGAAGCATGAAGTGCTCTAAAACTTCCTGGTATGTGGCTGCGTTGACCCTGGACCTCAGAAAACACAATGGACCAACACCAGCAGATGACATGGCACCCCAAACCATCACTGACTGTGGAAACTTTACACTGGACTTCAAGCAACGTGGATGAAGTGCCTCTCTTCTTTTCCTCCAGACTCTGGGACCTTGATTTCCAAAGGAAATGCAAAATTTACTTTCATCAGAGAACATGACTTTGGACCACTCACCAGCAGTCCAGTCCTGTTTCTCTTTAGCCCAGGCAAGACGCTTCTGACGCTGTCTGTGGTTCAAGAGTGGCTTGACACAAGGAATGCGACAGCAGAAACCCATGTCTTTCATACGTCTGTGTGTGGTGGTTCTTGAAGCACTCACTCCAGCTGCAGTCCACTCTTTGTGAATCTCCCCCACATTTTTGAATGGGTTTTGTTTCACAATCCTCTCCAGGGTGCGGTTATCTCTCTTGCTTGTACACTTTTTTCGACCACATCTTTTCCTTCCCTTCGCCTCTCTATTAATGTGCTTGGACACTGAGCTCTGTGAACAGCCAGCCTCTTTAGCGATGACCTTTTGTGTCTTGCCCTCCTTGTGCAAGGTGTCGATGGTCGTCTTTTGGACAACTGTCAAGTCAGCAGTCTTCCCCATGATTGTGTAGCCTATAGAACTAGACTGAAAGACCATTTAAATTTTTTTGCAGGTGGTTTGAGTTAATTAGCTGATTAGAGTGTGGCACCAGGGGCCATCAATTTTGAACCTTTTCACAATATTCTAATTTTCTGATATGATGAATTTGAGATTTTCATTTGTTGTCATTTGTAATCATCAAAATTAAACAAAATAAACATCTGAAATATATGAGTTTGTATGTAATGTATGAATATAATATACAAGTTTCACTTTTTAAATGGAATTACTGAAATCAATCTACTTTTTCATGATATTCTAATTTTATGACCAGCACCTGTATATAGATATAGTTATACAGTATATATCTATATAGATATATAGATATAGTTATATATAGATTGATATGTTTCTATAGCGATAGATATATAGATATATATCTATGGAGAAATACTTCTATAGAATCAGAATCAAGTTTATTGCCAAGTAGGTTTGCACTTACAAGGAATTTGACTTGGTGTTGTTGGTGCAGACAAAAAAAAACAAAACAAAATAACAAAATAAGATAGAATATATATAAATATATATACACAGAAGCTATATAGAAACAGTAGACTGTGTGTTAATGTAACGCAGAATAGATATAGATAGATATATATATATAGTTGTATAGATAGAAAGATATTTGCAAATAGATTTGCTCTCTATTAGAATATGAGCACATCGATAAAAACTAGGGTTGGGAATAGATAAGATTTTCACTATTCCGATTCTCTTATGGAATCTGTGAAACAATGAACTTGGTAATTCCGTAAAAGTTCAAAACTTTCCACTGGACTTGGTTTCCAAGATTTGAAGACGTTTCGCCACCTCTCCAGGAAGCTTTCTTAATTCAAATGTCTTGAGAAAGCTTCCTGGAGAGGTGGCGAAACATCTTCAAATCTTGGAAACCAAGTCCAGTGGATATTTTTGAACTTTTACGGAATGACTATGACCTGGATGACTTGGAATCTGCTAAGTGCACGGTGACAATCGTCTAACTTCGCCTGGGACGTTCTATTTCTACCTGCCTCGGCGAAAACAGAAGGCAGTGAACAGGAGCTGCCGGCCTCTGATGCAGCCAGGCTACCCGTCTCCTAACAGTCATCTAAATCTACTGGAGAAGGCATCCGTTTAATGAAAAAGCATTACTGTACAATTTCGGGAAATAAACTCATCTCCCCCTGATTTAAATAAACAAGCATCAAAACCAACAATCTGCAAAGAGTGAATAGAGTTTACACTGGGACTCACTGAGAAACACACAGCAGTTCATGCAACTTTATTAAGGTACAGAGCCCTGCAAAAATGATCCTACCTCTGGTTTTACATATACTCACTTTAACACCTTTCTCTCTCTCCCTGAAATGCAGGGTAACTTCATAGCATGTTTAATAAACCCACAAAGTGGTAGGAAACTGGTTTATTTCCAGAAACGGCGTATGATTTACTAGGAACCACATTAAGCACAGCCAGTGATGTAAAACTAGCTACTAACCACCAGAGCTTCCTTCCATGCTGGTCGTAACTTTAGCTTCTCTCCGGAAGCATCAAAAACACAGCATTCGTTAAAATGTATGCCATGTTGCGTGCGCAGGTGTTTCTGCATGTTGGATGGATTTCCTCCCGTGGATGTTATTGCCACTTTACTTTCAAACTTTCGATCGGTTTACCCGATGGGACGCCATTTTTTTGTTTGTTTTGCCTTTCTAGGTTTAACGCTTGGTCACGTCTTACTTGCTTACTTAATGCCGTGTGGGTAACTTGCGTAAAAAAAATGACGTAATTCGTGCTGGTTGAGCACTTGGGAGTTTCTTTTAAAAATAAAGCCTGTAGTGTTGATCTTTTTATCAGGGCCATGCAACGGGATGATCAGAGACTAATAAAAATAAATAAAATCCAATATTTTTGGCCATTTATTTCCCCACTCTGGTTGGAAAGATAACATGATGTCAGACAACAGCAGACTTTTTTTTTTAGTTTCTTAAGATTTTTATGTTTAGTTATTCTTATAAATTTTATCTGAAACAGTTTTCAGACTGTTAAACTTTATTTTTTAGGTCTTAATTTAGCCTCTGCCTCTAAATCCAAGGTTTTGCCTTGGTCTCAAGGATGCTTTTAGGTCCTCAGAGTTCTTAAACCCTTTAATCAGATCTCACCTTAACCAACCGTGGTCCGTCTGCCTACTTTCCTGGCATAAAAGATGCTGCTTCATCGACTGCCGAGCATCTGCAACAACAGTGTTCCTCTGGCAGGAGGAACACTGACCTAAAAAGAGAATTGGTCTTAGAAACGGTTTCTGTGGAGGAACTGAAAGTCATATCATGATCAGGGACACCATTTTACTTTGTGGTTCTCACAATGTGCAATATTTCATATTATAGATATAATCAATGAAACTGTAAGTTAGTTGAATTTTCTTCTGGCAGCTGCTGCTTTTTACTGATTCCTACACAGGATATCTAAACACAAATTTAAAATCTGAAACTAAGAAGTCAATGCGTCACAGTCTAGATATCAATTTTTTTTTCTTCTTCTTTTAGTCAGCTTTTTTGTTACACTATAGATTTTTTCTATGAATAACTTATCTGTACACATTGAATCACCGTGGAAAATACCTTTTAAGCCAGTTAGAAGCGTGTTTACTACACTGTGGGATCAGTGGTGATGTGATTACTGCCATATATAGGTACAAACTTTTCATTAAACTCGTAGTGCTTCTGAACTGCATTCTTATTTGGACTCAAACTGGTTTCACTTTTGATTTAGTGACCTTGAAGCCACTATAAATTGTATTTGTAAAAATAGTGCCCTCCAAATAAAACTATAGTTTAGAATCTACACCTTTGCTGTTCTCCTCTCTACCACCCATTTTCCTTCTGCTTAACTTTACCGTCAATGTTGAGGTTATCCATATAGCATTGTTTTAAAGTAGCATTTCCATGAGAATTCCTTATTTACTGGTCTAATGTAACAGTTAAGAAGTCAAATAATGGGTTTCCATTTGCTGTATATATGTATGTATGTATATATATATGTATGTATGTATATATATATATATATATATATATATATATTAGGGATGGGACGATTTATGAAAACCGTCAGAACCGTTCGGTTCGACTGTCTCGGTTCGATTCGCGTGTGTTTCGTTCGGTTCATGCGCTGCTCCTTTTTCTCATAGGCGAAGCGATTACACTCCAGAGCAGAAGGTGGCGGTACTGCGACCAAAGCCAACCACCAGTAGTAAACAAGAAGAAGAAGAAGCAAAGCAGCTTAGCCGGGTGTAGCAGGGAAAAAATCAGTTGTTGTGGAGAATTGTGTGGGTATGGCGAGTGGGAAAGAACAGGAGTTGGAAGATGCGCCAGCAGCACTTTATAGGTCTGCTGTATGGGACCACTTTGCATTTAGAGTGACCTACGATGACGGCGGAAAGAAAGTTGTGGATAAAAGTGAAACAGTGTGCAAGCATTGTGCAACACGTTTTGTTTATGCTAGCAGCAACACGACCAACATGTCATGCTAACCCCGAAATCCCACATACTCCGTCAGCGCTCCGCCCCGCTGCGCTCCAGACCGGCTGCACAAAGCAAAGCCTACAGCCTCCACTGTGGCTCCCGTCCGCTCCCCTCTGAGTTCCTTAGAGATGGTAGAGAGCATGCGCCAGATGATTAAATCCAAAGCAGCAAAACATGCGGAAATGATCCAGGGTTTCTGCGGATCATTTAAAATAATTACAATTCATTATTTTTGGGGGGATTTTTTCATTAATTTCATAAATTTTAATGGGATTTCGGTGTAACAATCAACATATACCGAATCGAACCGAAGAGTTACACCCCTAATATATATATATATATATGTATATATATGTATATGTTTAGATATAAGTATATATATATATAGCTATGTGTATATATGTGTATATATGTATATATACATGTATATATATATATATATGTATATAAATAGGTGTATATATGTATATATATGTGTGTATACATATGATGTATATGAATAAATATAGTTATAATAATCTAATTTAAGTTTTTTTTAGGTCAAACTGAAAATATAGATGAAGTTTTTGATTATATTCTAGGTGGTTTATATTCAGTCTGTATTAACTGATTATCTCCTGTAGCTCTGCTTCAGTTTTTAGTGTTTCACCATTAAGGAACGTTGAGTGAAAAAGCTGAATTGAACGTTGAATAATGTTAACTAAACCTTCATCTTCCACGAAAATAAAAACAGTTTTTGAGGTTAATCTTCATTAAAAAAACTATTTTTTTGTTATCGCTGAAAGAAAAAATCAAAAATAGAATTACATTTACGACTCTTCATATTTGTTTTGTTCTTGTTTAATTGTAATTGTTGCAATTTTGGAGAAATGCTAATTTACCGAGTTTAATAAATAGTACAAAAATTAAATAGAAAACAAATAAAAAACACATAAAAAATTTGATTAATGCAATGTTTTTTATCTCTGTTACAAAAACATTAGACTTGTATTTTTCTGAGCACTTATTTGGTTTTTCTTTCTCTCTTCCAGCCTAATACCAACCACAGCGCTCATGGTTCCATTCACTCCTTAGACAGCGAAGTGGTGGCGGGGGGGCCTTCAGAGACCTATAAGGACAATCTGCGGAGAGTCCAGTCGACAGATAGCCTCGGTTCCTCGCTGTCTTCGCAGCAGGGACTCGGCGGTCACAACCACAAGGCCAAGTCGGCCAGCAACCTGGACGAATCTGACTTTGGGCCTCTGGTGGGGGCGGACTGCAGTGTGACGGACAGTAGTTTTGGCGAGACCTCGTCCATCGGCTCCATCAAGCTGACGGCGGGTCACTTCTTGCTTACTAAAGACCAGGAGAAGGCTATCAAAGCCATGACGCCTGAGCAGGAGGAGACGGCGTCGCTGCTATCCAGCATCTCTCATGCCCCTGATTCAGCTTATTTACCGCCTGCAGGCTACCGGCTCGTCAGTGACACCGAATGGAACCTGCTGCAGCAAGAGGTACACACATGAAACACTCCTACCAATGGATACTCTTTTTCTCAGGTTTAATTTCAGTTTTTATCACAATAAGATCATCTGTAAATATCAGGTTATATCCCTGTTATGTATATGCTCCAAAACAGGCTGCAAATACTTTCCTACATAATAGCAAAAGTAGATTTGTTAAAAAAAGAAAAAAACTTCATGAACTCCACCTGTATTTAATGAGAGTTGATGAGGCTGATAAACCTTTGCTGTTGTGTCCTGTTTGTGTGCAACCAGGTAAAAAACGCTGGCAGGAAGCTCGGCCGACGCTGCGACATGTGCTCTAACTACGAGAAACAACTACAAGCCATTCAAGGACAGGAGGCCGAAACACGAGACCAGGTTCTTGTCTCTGCTTCCATGAAGGATACTTCTTGTTTTCTTTTTTCTTTTATTTCTTTTTTTTTTCAATTCAAGATAAGATAGACTTTATTGATCTCACAGGGGACAAATTCACTTGTCACATTGGCTCAATAATCAAAAGAAGGTGCTAGAAGGAGGAAAAGGTGCATGGGGTCTATACAGTATGTACATTGTCTCAACATATACATATATATAAATATATATGTATGTTTACCCATATGTATGTATATGTATATATTTGTATATGTATGTGTAAGTATGTGTTTATATATATATATACACATACACTACTGCTCAAAAATTTGGGGTCACCCAAACAATTTGTGTTTTCCTGAAAAGTCACACTTATTCACCACCATGCGTTGTGAAATGAATAGAAAATAGAGTCAAGACATTGACAAGGTTAGAAATAAAGATTTGTATTTGAAATAAGATTTTTTTTATATCAAACTTTGCTTTCGTCAAAGAATCCTCCATTTGCAGCAATTCCAGCATTGCAGACCTTTGGCATTCTAGCTGTTTCAGATCTGGTGACTGCGCTGGCCACTCCATTACCCATAGAAAACCAGCTGCCTGCTTCTGCTCTAAATAGTTCTTGCACAATTTGGAGGTGTGTTTAGGGTCATTGTCCTGTTGTAGGATGAAATTGGCTCCTATCAAGCGCTGTCCACTGGGTATGGAATGGCGTTGCAAAATGGAGTGACAGCCTTCCTTATTCAGAATCCCTTTTAGCCTGTACAAATCTCCCACCTTACCAGCACCAAAGCAACCCCAGACCATCACATTACCTCCACCGTGCTTAACAGATGGCGTCAGGCATTCTTCCAGGATCTTTTCATTTGTTCTGCGTCTCACAAACGTTCTTCTTTGTGATCCAAACACCTCAAACTTGGATTCATCCGTCCACAACACTTTTTTTCCCGTCTTCCTCTGTCCAATGTCTGTGTTATTTTGCCCATCTTAATCTTTTTCTTTTATTGGCCAGTCTCAGATTTGGCTTTTTCTTTGCCACTCTGCCCTGAAGCCCAGAATCCTGCAGCCGCCTCTTCACTGTAGATGTTGACACTGGTGTTTTGTGGGTACTATTTAATGAAGATGCCAGTTGGGGACCTTTGAGGCGTCTGTTACTCAAACTAGAGACTCTAATGTACTTATCTTCTTGCTCAGTTGTGCAACGCGGCCTCCCACTTCTTTTTCTACTCTGGTTAGAGGCTGTTTGTGCTGTCCTCTGAATGGAGTAGTACACACTATTGTAGGAAATCTTCAATTTCTTAGCAATTTCTCGCATGGAATAGCCTTCATTTCTAAGAACAAGAATAGACTGTTGAGTTTCAGATGAAAGTTCTCTTTATCTGAGCATTTTGAACGTTTAATTAACCCCACAAATGTGATGCTCCAGAAACTCAATCTGCTCAAAGGAAGGTCAGTTTTGTAGCTTCTATAACGGGTTAAACTGTTTTCAGATGTGTGAACTTGATAAGTAAGGAATAAGTTTGATAAATAAGGACATTTCAATGTGACCCCAAACTTTTGAACGGTAGTGTGTGTGTGTGTGTGTGTGTGTGTGTGTGTGTGTATGTATGCATTTATGTATATATATATATATATATATATATATATATATATATATATATATATATATATATATATATATATATATATATATATATATATATATATACATATGTGTATATATAGATATTTATTTATATTAAGTTATTGCACAGCGTGTTAAATAGTTATTTCACAAGTTATTGTGAAAATAAAAAATTCTGATGGCAGCAGGGATGAATGACCTGCAGTAGCGCTCCTTTTTACAAACGGGGTGGGCTCATCTCCTTTACTGTCTGGTGCAGAGGGTGGAAGGTGTTGTCCATGATGGAGCTAAGCTTGGACAACATCCTCCTCTTCAGCTGAGATTCTTTGCACAGGAAGGCATTCATGGTTTGACATGAAGCTCACGTTTGATAATTTCTTCCTGTAGGTGAAGAAGCTGCAGGTCATGCTCCGTCAGGCTAATGATCAGCTGGAGAGGACGATGACGGAGAAACAAAGCCTAGAAGAATCAGTAAAAGTAGGAAACGAGGAAACTGCTGCTAAGGTCTGTATACTGCAAATTTAATAATGCATTTTCAACAAACAAAAATCTATTTTGCTGGTATCACTGGCATCTTTACTTTATTTTGATTCCTAAGCTACATGAGATGATTGTAGATATCTAATTAGACCATATGTTGGGAAAACGAAGGTTATAAAACAGCGGTTTTAACTGGCGTTTGCACTTGCAGCCACATTTAGGAGGTAATGCAACCATTCGCATCAAACAGAGAAACATTTGAAACACATGGGGAAGTGAGCCCTGAAAACACGTCATTCAAACCCATATTACATGTGGTTTGTAGCATGTGTAAATAAACTATTTTGTGAAACATTAAGCCCTGAACCAACAATGATGTTTGGGTGTCTACGATTATGTTATTTTATTTTGTATTCTGCATTTTTCTTGAGATAATCTGTGTTAAATGTACAGCATGCTAATGCATCGGGACAGACTTATGCTACGTTCACACCAAAAGCAGCAAAGGCAGCAGGAGCAGCTAGTTTACATGCAAAATCAATGATTGACGCGCGTCAAGGCGCAGCAAAATGTCCCGCAGCTCGTTTTAAGCAGCAGGAGCAGCGTGTCTTGAGCGTTTGAGTATCTGACGTGTGTGACGCGCCGCAAACGCGGCTGCTAATCGAGTTGGAAAAAATTTTTACTTTTGCTGCTCGATGCGCCACATCAACCAATCAGAAGCTGATCTGGGAGCTGGCAGGGAGACAGACACATTGGTGCTGATGCAGAGCACTATGATCACTCCTCTGAAACAGTTTATTAATGCCTAAATTGAATTTAAATGCCGAAATCTGCAAAACATGTTTGCTTTTATTATCCTGGTGCCTGCAGTTTGGATAACGTGCATGAAAACAGCTTTCCAGCTACCGCGGCAAACCGCCAAGTGACGACTTGGCCAGAGGCTGCTGTTGAATGGGATTCCTACTGACAGCGCACCGCCGGCATGTGGGGTCTAAGCAGCTCCGACAGCGAAATATTTGAATGCAGGATCATAATCTTGATGAACTGACTGCACTAATGAAGTTTTAATGTGGACTTTCTGACTTAAAAACATATTAAAACTACTTTATTCCCACTGATTACATCATATATAGCTGCCAGGCAGAGAAACGATCGGGTAGCTCCGCCCAACGCGCATCAGACCCACTTTTCCACCAAACTAAACTTGTAGAAGCATCAAAAATGAAGCAGCACGCGCGTTTCTGCTGCTCTTGCTACTTTTGTTGCGACCGTAGCATTAGGCACTGATCATTACCTGACCATCTTGGGCTGAAAGTTCATTGCTCAATACACAAATAATTATTGGTTAACTAGCAAGACAAAGTCAGTCTTTTGCAGAGTCAGTAAACAAAACCCAAAGCATTTCAGTTCTGTTTTGGAGGTAATACTTCTCTTTGGGTTTTTAGTGGCAGTTTTGTCATCTCTGGATGAGTTTGTTGGTGATTTGCCACTTCCTGAGGAGAGGTCAATTTTTTTTTTTCCCCAGCGTTTTTATTGTCATTACACTGTCACAAGTACAGAGCAACGAAATTAACTCTCTGCATTTAACCCATCCCGTTGGGGATGCAGTGGGCTGCAGCGCCCAAGGAGCAGTGTGGGGTTAAGAGAGGCAGTCAGTGTGAGTGGGGCTTAACCTCTTAACATCCATCTCATTTTGGGCAATCCTCGCATATTTCGCATACCCAAATGGAAAAGCAAATAACTTAGGAACTGTAAGCCCAAATTACATGTGCAATACATTATTTGAAAGCTAACACCCTCTAATTTCCTGATATATAAATTAAAATTGGCTGAAATACAGACCAACCTGCATCAGTTCAAACATTTTTATTCTCGGAAATGATTGGTCTTTTTTGAAAAGCGGTAATAAAGACATTTTTGAGAAAAAAACAGGTTTTATTGTATTTTATTTGTTCGGTATCATGTCAAGCATAAATACAGAAAATTTCAGCCCTCTAGCTATAACAGTTCCAGAGCTGTGGGGCTTTGAACTTTTGGTGTCAGCATGGAGCTGCGCGCAATGGCTCCACCTGCTGGTAAAACTTTTACCAGTGGAATTTTATGCATTCTGAGTTATTACCCGGTTTTAAGAGATTAAACTCAGAACCTCTGGAGTCCAAGTGTAATGCCCTAACCCAAGGGAGTAACTTCGTGATGAAAGTTGGTGGGGACACTCTAAGGATTGTGGCCGTTGGACCTATAGTTACTCGACAAAAAACACTTTGAATAGGGTTTGTATTTTCCAAAATTGAGCCCAAACTTATACTTATTGAATTCTTCTTAATGTTGAGAACACAAAACAACCAAAATACACTGATTTATATTTATGGTTAAAAATGATGAATAACAGCCGACTCTGATGCCAACAGAAATACATCATTCTTCCCTAGTTTGCACACAATTTTTCGTTCATCCATCCATCCAGAAAAATGTGGATTGATTGATGGATGTTTTCCCTTTCAACTACATCAGTGATGATCCTCCTTCAAAAGCAGCAAAATCAAATTTTGAAATTTGTCAACCATGTTGTTAAAAGCCAAAGTCTTTGTATTGAAATTATTGGTGGGGATATGTCCACACCAGTCCTTCAGAAAGTTACGCCTGTGCCCTAACCACTAGGCCACCACTCCCCAAAGCAGGCATTAGGGTGAAGGGTAGGGTTGGGAATTGAAAAGATTTTCACGATTCCGATTCCCTTTTCGATTCTATGAAACGATTCGATTCTTTATCGATTCTTTTTTCGATTCCAATTTGGGGAAAAAAGGAGAACAAACAGTTTGATTATCAGAATCAACTTTGTTTACTTAACTATTGCACAATCTTACAAACTCAACAAGATCAAGATGTCCACAGGAAATGTGAAACTGGAGTAACATCTGTGTTTAAATGAAAAATAAATATACAAGAACAAACTTAATAACCAACAATGTCTAATAACAAATGATGGGATAATAACCTATTTTAAATAACAAAAAATACTAATTATAAAACAGTAGTAGGGAAAATTAACAGTTCTTTTGCAGAAAGATGAGCATATCTGCTTTTTCTGGAAGGATACAGGATCTTTCAGGGCTTATGGTGTCTCCAGCCGTGGAGAACACCCTCTCAGATGGGGTGGAGGAAGCCTGCACACAGAGGTAGTTTTCAGCCAGTCCAGATAGCAAGGGCAGCGTATCTTGCTTGTTCCACCACCACAGTGTGGCGCTATCCCTGCAGGGGATGGAGGGCAAGCTTTTATAGAGCTGGATTTCCTGATCTACCCTCTGGGCTAAGGAAAGACGCGGCTTTGATTCACAAAGTGACCGCAGCTCGTTGTCTTCCTCCTCGAATAGTTCTTCCAACTTGCGTAACTTGCGTAACTTGCGTAACTTACGTAAAAAACGTGACGTAAGTCGTGCTCCGCAGAGCCGGCGCTCTAGGCTCTGGTGCTGCGGGAATCGAAAAAAGAATCGTTCAGTGAGCTGCCAAACGATGCCATGGAATCGGAAAATACGGAACCGGTTCTGAACAGGAACCGGTTTTCGATTCCCATCCCTACTGATATCATACAGTTACAGCAATCTAGCCCATTCTATTCAAAGTTTGCAATGCCGGTTACAGCATCACGCAGAGCAGCTGGTGATAAGCAACCGCAGAACATATTTATATCTGTGTTGTTTTGTGACCTTTTGACAAGTCTGGCGCCTTCGCTCACATGGCTACTAATTCAACAATAATATCAGAGTATTGGCCAACATGCTCCAAAACAGTATTGTAAAAAACTGGATTGGGTGCTGGAAAGGAGCCTGAAAGTTTGTCAGAGTTAATGAGACTTAGTCTTAAGATATTTTCCTTCAGAAATAAAAGATTACTAATAAAAAGATTGCTGTACCCTGGAGACATAACAAACTAATACCCTACCGTTGGATATAAAAGTACTTTTTACAATCTCATTCCGCCGCTGTGGAAAAGGGAGCTTTTGGGGAAAAACCGTGGTTGCATTCAGATAGACAGAATTATTTCTGCCTCGGTTCTGACCAGCAATGTGAAATGATGCTTGTGCATCATTTCATGGGCATTACGCTGCAGTGCGTTATGCATAAGTTAGGCTGTTGTTGCATATAAGTTCTGGACTCGTTATGAATACTCTATATATACGCTCAAAATTGAAAAATACATAGAAAATTAAGTGTATGCCAACATTTTAGGGGCATACACTGGCTAAATCAGCAAAGTTTGACTGGGCCCTAACTGCTGTGTCAACATAACACCTTACTTTCTATTAGCCAGCCTCCAGTAAATGTCAAAGTCTCTTTTGTCCACATAATCAGCTTGTTATTTTTATTTATTTTACTTGTGAGTTTATCTACACCGAAGGGTGTAGCACAAGTCACCATTTATGATTATGCCACACAAACAGTTTTAGCCTCTGTGTAGTTAGTTTAGCCACAACATGAGGTTAGGCCGTAAATAGTCACTTCAGTTAAGTGCTCCGGGTGTCGTGGATGAAAGAAAGGATCAAATACTGACAATCCGACTATACCTACAGTCAAATACAAACTTCTGTGTTTGGGTCAGACACAGAAATAAATGATTGTTGCTAAAGCTAACTATTGTGGCTAAACATGAAGGATGATCATTTAAAGAGAATTAATTCATTTAATGTCACCTGAAAACATCAGCATGACCATTGTTCTGATAGAGGAAAAATAAATATGTTGAAAATGAAAATATTTTATCTGATTAACTTGATCCTCTGCAACAACATACGTCTTCCTCTTCTCTGTGGTCTGGCTGTTGACTCCCTGTGCCAGCTGTCTGTTTAAGTAGAGATATGACCTGTTAGGTCCTCATCTCTGGTTTCTTTCACCCCTTTGTTTTATCAAAAATGTCCAGCGGGTGCTTTTTGTTTACAATGGAAGCCGTCTTCACCTTTTTTCCTCTCATTTAACATGCTCTCATCGTTGTTTTTTTTTCCTCTATGGAAAAAGTCTGTATTCACAACAATATGATTATGCATCATCGTCCTTTTATGGCACTAGCTTCCTGTTTTTAAGTGAAGGGTGGCTAGATGGTGCTTTTAAAATAACGGCAGGTCATGTTTTATTTATACTGTATTTAATATAGGAGTCTACACTGGAAAAACAATCTACAAATAAGTAAAAATGTCTTAAATTAAGTGTATTTACCCTTAATTTGAGTAGGTAATTGATATAGTTTGCCAATGGAATGAGTATTTTTACTCTTAAAATAAGATATTTAGATATAATGCACTTGAAATAAGATAATGCAATTGTGTTTTCTTATTGTAGGTCTAAATTGTCTTGTTCTATTGGCAAAATGTCTCTTTTACCTCCTTAATCCAAGAACGAATTAACTTATTTTTGGAAAAATGACTTATCTAGATTTAGATTTTTTTTCCAGGGTAAAATCCAGCATATTTGCTCCTCATCCTTTACCTGTGTAACTGTCTAAAAGCCTTCCCCTGTTCCCTCATAGGTGTCTGCCCTCATGCAGAGTGTCCAGGAGTCAGAAACACTGTTCAACACACTACAGCAGGCCTTCAGCGAGGCTAAGAGGAGCACGCAGGAGCAGATGGTGAGCTGCATGTTCAGCTGTTAACACAACACCGCCTGTCGCCGCCTGATGACTTTATTATCAGCATATAAAAGAAGACAACCAGCATGAAAAGCAATCATCAGTTTTGTCTTTGTTGATCACCTGCAGCTGAGCTAAGTGGCAGCTTGTAGCTCCTGTCTGCTGGTCTTATGTCCCCATTTAATCACTGTTCTTCTTCACAACACAAGATGATAAGACAAGGCTAATGGGTTTAGGATGTATCAGTCACTCATAGGACTTTATTTTCACTATCTTTTCTTTTTTCCAAAAGGGATCATTACAGTTTAGAGAATAAAAGGAGATAATTACAAACACACATGCATTTCTCAGCAGCAAAACACAAAGTAGAGGAAAACAATAGTGTTATGAACTAAAACAGTGATAGAAATAACAGCAGATAAAAAAAAAAAAAGGCTACCCAGACTGAGAAAGATGAGAAATATAAGAAATCAGAATCAGAAATACTTTAATAATCTCAGAGGGAAATTACTTTTGTTACAGGCTCCAGTTACAGTTTTATATGATATATACAAACATCCAACTACACAATATAATAAAGATAAAAAATAAGAATAAAAAGAGATAAAATATATACAAATATAGCTCTTCTGTATATATATATATGTATGTATATCTATGCATATGTAAAAACTTAATCCAAATAAAGTGAAAATCCAACTAAAGTGATAGAAATAAGAGGCATGTGAAGAAAAAAATTAATTAAGTGAGGTAGTAATACAAAAATCACATTTAATTAACTTGGAAAAAAAGGAATGTTTTAGTTTAAATGAAAGGTATGAAAGATCAAAGCTTAAATTGTTTTGTTTTTTTGGTAAGAAAAAAAAACAGTTAAGTCAGAGAATTATTTATGCAGAAATAAAAAAGGTGGATTGATCTTCAATTAAAGGCCAGACAACAAGTCTTGAAATTCCTTCTTTATGACATTTTTTTAGGCTTAGTGTTTGTCATTCAACATATATATTAATATAAAATCATAAGCTGTTGCTTTCAGGTTTGGTTTCTGATGGTTTTTCTTTGAACCATGTACCATTCACATGGTTTAGTCTCAATAAAATATTAAGCACAACTTATTTTTGATTTTAAATAAAGAAAAAGAATAATGCTCCCTCAATTTTTCTTCCAACAGAGAATTAAGGAACTACAAGATTATTCACATCTGCACCAAATCCCTAACATCAACATCATTATTGCTTGAAACCAATAACTTCATAAAGCAAAATATTGTTTTCTGATGCATTACAAGGTCAACAGAAGTGGGAGTTTTCAGTTCTGATGTGTTTAATTACGAAGAAACAGCATAGACATACTTTTAGTATTAGACGTGTCAATCATTCATCAGATTAAATCAAAGGAAAATTACTGATTGAAGACCAGGTCGGCAATCGCAGGACAAACAACCATTCACACACACACCTAAGGAGAATTTAGAGAAGAGAATTAGCCTAACAGTCATGTTTGTGGGAGGAAGCCAGAGTACCCGGAGAGAACCCACGCATGCTCAGGGAGAACATGCAAACTCCATGGGCTGGGAATCGATCCCGGAACCTTCTTGCTGCAAGGCAGCAGTGCTACCCACTGCTCCACTGAGCAGCCTGGTTTTAGCATCCGGCTCTCTGCAGCTCCAAAAGACCACAGAACACAGTGGGCTTTCCCTCGGCTAGTCATGCCACCTAAACTTAGACTATACTCTAACTTCGAATCATTTTATAATTGAAAACCAGGATTATCGTTTCCAACTTTGGTGGAGGTAGTAATCCTGAGTGGAAAATCAAAGGTTCTAGCTGGGAAATAGGCTGCAGCTGGTAACGAGCGGCTGCATCAGAAGACATGAGAGATAATTTTGTTGTTACTTGGCCTGTTTTTCCGGTATTTTAGGCGGTGCTCTTGAAGTCGAGAGAGAAGGTGGCGGAGGAGCTAAGCCGACTACAGAGAGACAACGAGAGCCTGCAGGGTAAACACAGGCTGCATCTAGAACTACAGCAGCAAGAAGACTTCCACATGCCTAACACTGTGCAGGTACAGCTTCTGTTTTAACCTCAAAATATCTATTTTCATTCACTATAATCACCGACATCAACACGAGATAAAACTGTTCTGAGGTTTGGATTTCACTTTTTAAGTTCTTATTTCTTTGTGTTGATCTGATTTATTGAGATCCACCTGTAGAAAAAATTTAGTAGATGATCATGTTCTGGAATCTGGCTACTCTATATATGCTTGATTATTTCTAGATGCGTTATGCTACTGCTTCCTCTCCCCTCATCTAACTCCCACACCGTTACTCTTAGCAGCTTGCTGAATCTCACTCCTGCAACGCAAAAACAGAAGTAGAGAAACATGGAAGCTCCAGTGAGATTTTCAGCTCTTTTAATGGAAATATTTTAAATAAAAAATCCACTCAGCAAGGAATGATCAGTGGATCATTATTTATACCTAAAAATGATACGTCTGTGATTTAATGAATTTAGCGTTACTCAGTAAAAAAATAAAAACAATAATTTTGTCACGATCAGAGTCTGGGGGCGGCCATTTTTGCCCAAATATAGTAACCCCTCCCTCCTGCCATCTTCCAGCAGTGACGTCACGGTGCGGTAAGCCTAGCGCCATTCTCCCCGCTTTACAAGCTAAATCAATGGGAACTACTAGACACATCTGCAATCAACAACAATTATTGAAGATTTCCAGAGGACTTCACCATTGAAATTCACCAGAGCTATAGTGAAACTGACAATGCCCACGTGCATGGCAGCTGGATGCTGGAATACATCGGGTAAATTTCACCTTTCTGATTCCTGATCCTCCACGGACGGGTTGGTCGTTGGATCGCCAACTTGAAGAGGGAGGATTTGCCATCGAACTTCTGGCCAGAGAAAAAACACGTAATATGTAGCCAACATTTGGAAGAAGAATGTTTTCAAGATGACTTGGATAATAGCGTGTTGTGACAAACCCCAGATACAGCACTGGGACTTGATCAACAGCCGATACCGCACCGTGACGTCACAAACCAGTAGGTGGCAGTAGTGTTCTTTGACAAACATGGATGCCTCCAGTAAAGCACATTCAAATGAAAATTACTCTTTATTAAAAGCACTGAACAGTGTGTAATAATTTCATAATTAAAGTACTTTCAGAAGTTTAAAATCTAAATATGACCGGACTTTTCCTTTAAAGCTTTCCATCTTAAAAACAATGAGAAGCAGCAATAGTTTATAATCAGTTTATTAACTGCATATTAATTAAAAAAACACAGGAACTGTTGCAAAAAATTCAGTAGTTGAGTTAAACTCTGTGATCTTTGCTTTCATTCCTTTTACTCCCCCCTTAAATAATATGAACGGACTTTTCCTTTAAATAAACAATTTAATACATTCTTTATATACTAGGTTTTAAATGTTTGAACATCTGGCTATATAATATATATTGTATTTTGTATGTTTTATATTGTTTGTTTTATTTGTCTGCACCTTCAACACAAAGTAAAGTTCCTTCTAACTGCAAACCTACTTGGCAATAAATCTGATTCTGATCTGCATTCTGAAAACATCAGACCGACTATCTCTACTCAGAGTTCCTTAACTTCTTATCCTGAGAAGAAAACTTGATTCTCCTGCAGGATCTACAAGGTCTGGTGTCGCAGCAGCGGGACGACATTGTGGCGTTGCGGACGGCGGCCGATCACATGGAGGAGAAGCTAAAAGCAGAAATCCTGTTCCTGAAGGAGCAGATCCAGGCGGAGCAGTGTCTGAAGGAGAACCTTGAGGACACGCTGCAGCTGGAGATCGAGGGCTGCAAGGAGGAAATAGGTGAGAGTTTCTGGGGTAAAAATCCATCACGGTGCTGTTTTCTGGACATTTTTTTATTTATAAACTTCCTTCTGTTTCTGCTTTTTGTTTTTCCTCCATTGATCATTGTCTTACAGACATCTTGGAAGGTATGAAAAAAAAAACTGGAAAATCTCCATTTAACAGCTTGTGTGTGAGAAGCAAGCAGTTCCTTGCAAAAACATTCATATTCTTTTTCTTATTTGTGTATTTTACTTTAAATTGACCAAATAGGGAAGCAGGGAGGCAAATACACTTTAGATATTTGAATTATTTAATAGTTTAAAGAAGTGAGGAATCTGTTTAATTACACAGTCAATTAACCTTCTGGTTTTAACATAAGAAAATATGGGGAAAAATAAGGGGTATGAATAATTTCTGCAAGGCACTGTTTTTAATGGATAAACCATAAAAAATGTAGACATTTTATTACCGCACCTTGATAGCAGCCATTAGAAAACTCACCTCACTTTGCTTTGATAATATCACTTATGTTTCAAAGTACAGTACAGGAGTCTTAAAAGTTCCTCCTTTTTATTTCCTTCACACTTTAATACTGATAAACCGGAATTAATTGCAACCTTTAAAGTGCCTCATATTTAGTAGTTCCTCTTTTTAAGCTTTTTTAAACCTTTGCAGCTTTTCCTGTTGTTCTACTTCACTCCTGGACTATTTTAATAATGTTCTTTCTCATAATAAGATAAGTGACGGATGACTTAAAGGTGTTGTGGAGGATTTTCGTGAATTTTTGAAAAGACCTGTCCTCTCTACTCTAAAACAAATCGCACGTACGAGAGCATGCAGGAGTCGATTTTCTCCTCATAAACTCTCTGTTTAAAAGTTGCAGTTCTTATCCCTCATACAAGCTTACTGAGTCTGAACGTCGCCCTGACCCCTAAATCCCTCAGTCACTACATAGAGCGGGGACCAGCGGCGGCAAGGGGAGTTTTCTCAAAATAGACGTTTACCAAAAACTAATCAACCGTTTTCCAAGTTATCACACCAGTATATTTATATGAATGCCAACAACAAAAAAACTTTATAAAAACAAAACATAATTTCATGTACAGGATCATTTTTGTACATAAATCTTGTCCTTCTGAGGCTTTGTGAAGATAAATCTTTGTTTTGCAAGGTCCAATATTGTGTCACAAACTTAAAAAAATGATGTACAAGTTTAATAATGGGGAAGCTATTAGTCAGCGATATATATTTTTAATATATGAAAACTATTTTCTGAGAATGTCTTTATTTAAGAGCAACTGTGCAAATTAACAAACATCTAGAAAAAGTAGGCTATATCTATTATTTTCCATGTGAATCCCACATTCTTCTTTTGCTTTTCTATAAAGTGCTTTAAATCAGTCCTAGCTGTCTTTATCCATGCTGGATCAGATCCTAACATTTGAAAAAGGATGCAGAGAAAGCAGAATAAAGCTTTAGCCTCGCTTAAGGTGGCCATTTCTATAGCACCAAAAAGGAGGACATTGTGCGGCATATCAATAAATTACTAAGGTGTACATAAGAATCGGGTAAAGTCACATTTATAGCACAATTCTTAGTAGTTTAAAGAGGATGCTTGTGTAGCTGAATAGAACAAAATATTAAAGAAATGTAAAAAAGAATTGGTTCCCAGCATTTGTATTTATTTAATACATTGTGGTGTTTAAAAAGTGACCATTTTTTTAACACAATTAATTTGCGCAGAACTGCTGCAATTGATCATAAAGCAGTTGTTTGGAAAAGAAGCTCGAGAAAGAGCTAGAGAATAGGACGATGCAAACTGCAAAAAGTGGCTGGAAAAGAGTAATTCATGACATGGCTGCAGCCTGTCGAGAGTAAAGATGATTTCACCATGTTCTCTATCTATCCATATCTATCTATATATCTATCTATCCATATCTATCTATATATCTATCTATCTATCTATCTATCTATCTATCTATCTATCTATCTATCTATCTATCTATCTATCTATCTATCTATCTATATATATATATATATATCTATATATATATATATATATATATATATATATATATATATATATATATATATATATATATATATATATATATATATATATATATATATATATATAAACTTGAGTCATGGAACTGTGCTTACAGCTCCTTATTTCATGTAAACTAATAACTTGTGTACATGATACTTGTTGATGGCATTAAAATTATTTCTAATAGCATTAAAAGAGCATTAAATTAGAGCTCCTCATTCCTGTATAAAACCTGTGAACGCTTAATTGAATCTGACATATTAAAAAAATCCCCATCATCATCCAGCAGATGTTCAGTTTCTGCCCAAATATTTTCTTTCTGTTGCCGATTTTTGTAACAGGGATAACTAGGATCATATATAGTTTGTATGAACTCTGTTTATTCTCTGCTTCCAAACTCATCATCTCTTCATCCATTCCTGCAATAAGAATTTTCTTTTAAAGTTGTGAGATTCACTCTAGAATCTCACAACTTCTTCCTGGTCTGTTGAAGCACCAATAGTCTGCATCCAATTATTTAATTAATTGCTCTTAGTTTTTGGGAATATATACAAACTATGCTCTAATTTCTAGATACCGATCTGTTTTTACTATAATTTAATTTGACAAACCGTGTCTTCTCTACATTCTTTTTTCTGTTTGGTGCGATTGCAATAGCAGGTCTTGATCTGGACGGACCGGAGGGGAGCAAAAAATAGCTCAGTATTTTGACGGTGAAGGACGGAGAAGACGTACGTGGGCGGTGACGAGCGGAGGATGTGGAACAGCTCTCATTGATTTACATGACAGACAAGTACTCCGTACGTGAGCGGGGCGGAGCGCTGACGGAGTATGTGGAATCTGGGGGTAAAGGAGGACAAATACACGTCCGGCTGGGTGCAGCGCCGGACGCCGGACAGTGCAATGAAAATCCGGACTGTCCGCCCTAAAGCCGGACATCTGGCCACCCTAGCCTCGCTGCATGCAGTTAGCTTAGCCTGGTAGCTAAACCAGGTCCTGGAAAAAAGACGTTTCTAGCGCCATTTCTCTCTCCAATGCGTTTCCAACTCCTGCGACTCGACCTGTTCTTCATCCCCAAACATCTGCGCTGTGGCGGGAGGTGGTGAGCAAATACACTTCCTGTCACCTCAGGGCGCAGCTATCCTATGTATTCTGTATTGCAGAGGAGTTGCTGCGCACGTGCAACTTTTAACGAGAGTCAATGGGCAAAGATTTTTGCGCCCTAGGGCTGAAATACGTCACCAATCCAACAAAAAATGGAATGACACTTTACTTGTCATTAAAGATTAAATATTTGTCTTGCACATCTAATAAATATATATTAAGATATTTCGAAGTATTCTAAATGTTAATTTGAAATTAAATTATAAAAAAAATTTATATATATTTATTATGTCTTAATCAGGGTCAATGGGTGGATGGGGCAGCGCTCTAGCACCCTCTAATGGCCAGCGCCAAATCACTCATTTTTACTCCCGGTTGGTCACGTAACTCCTCATCCACTCCGCGGTAACGGCGCCATCTTTGTTATTAGTCACCACTGTCGGGTAGCGTAAGCCTGTGGCGACAGCGGCCCGCTGTGACAGCAAATCCCATAATGCTTTGCAAGGAGAGCTCTCTGCGCAAAGCATTCTGGGATATATCTCCCTTTCCTGTGGCCTTTATTTCCTTCTCATACTCTTCATAGACCCTTTTTCTCTTCCGACACTCGGCCATTTTCAAAGAGCCGCGGTGAGAAAGGTGAGCTTCAATGACTGTCTGAAACCGTAGCTCAACACCGATATACGCCTTAAAGTGCATATAAACATATCACCAGAATGATTGACAGTTAGGAGGACCACTTATTGAGATGATAAAAGATCGTCCTCCATACCTTTAAGACTTTTTCACAGTACCGTTCCTTTAGAAGTGACTTTTCTGTGTTTTGCTGATAAACAGCAGCAGTAGTGTCCAAGGGTGGGTTTAGTTGCATTACAAGGCCTTTAAACCAAGTAATGAATCCTTAACCTGTTCAAAGTAGTTTAGGATGTTTAAAAGTTCCTTTTTTTTTATCTAGATACCCTAAAACAAAGTGTATTTTAAATATATCATGAAAAATGTATTATATTAGTTTTAGTTTAAATAATTCAAACATATTCATTTCCTTGTTAAATAATCCAACTTTAATTAATGGAATAAACTTTTTTACCTCTCAAAAAACAGTTATTATTATGGGATTTTCTTTTTTCCCTTTGAAGCTTTTCCCTGAAGGAAATGCTTGATTTATTAGTTTTATATTCTGTTTAGCTTATGAGTGTCGTCTTGGTTTTCTGAGGGTCTGTTTGATCTTGGCTGTCATTAAACCGGGTCCAGCGCAGCTCTGAACGTTCGGTCAGTCCATTAACAGTTTGCGGCTTGTTGGTTTGGATCCATTGCTGTGTTTTTAACACAAGCAGAACACAAGCTGTCCCTCAGCGGAGCCGCTTTGTTGAATTATTCATGCGCTTGAAAGAACCGAGGAGAAACTCCGCTGAGAATAACAAAGCTTTAAGATTCACATAAACTCTGCAAACCTCTAATGATGCTGCTTTATGATTGTGTTCTTGTCTCCCATAGCATCTTTCTCCAGCCTGAAGACGGAGCTGGAGCGAATAAAAGCAGAGAAGCAGCAGGTGATGCAGCCTCTTTTCTACTCTGGCATGAAATATTACAACATAGAGCAGAGTGGTGTAGGTGTAGCTGGATGTGAACATAATCAGGTTGAAAAGCTGTTGTTCTGGCTACTCAGTATCTGCTCTCTGTTTTTGAACATTACACATTCATTAAAATGTTTGTTTTTACTCTTAAAAAATAAATAAAAAATGACTGAAAACTCTAGACTTGAATATGGTAAAATTTTAAGCATTGAAATACAAAAGTTGCAGTAATCGCTCAGATCATTCTGAGCCTCTGCTGTTGTTGTGTTTTTGCAGCTGCAGAACAGTTTAGCTGAAAAGACCGAAATACTGGACGGCATCCAGAGCGCCAAGACGAGCCTGGAGCAGCAGCTCAAAGAAGTCACCAGTGCAAAGGTTTGTTGTCTTTTCATGCTCAACTAGTTAAATGTTAAAGAAAATAATCTGTTTGTGATTAAACCTTTTCAATGTTACGTCTAACCAGAGGTTACGTTTTAAACTCTGTCAATTTGACTGACAAGATTTTTTTTTTTTATTCAGTCATGATCTATATTTACCTGTGTGTGTAATAAATATATATATATATACATATATGTATATGTAAAAAATTCATGAATCGATTCCACAAGAGAATCGATTCATGTTTTTTTTTTTCCTCCGGTCTATTTTTATCAATTTTTATCCTGGACGTAATTCTCCCTCCCGTGCTGCGGTGGCGCTAAACCTATTTTGCCCTCCTACCTCGCTTCCTGGTTATACTCTTACAGCAGTGTGTTGCAGTGAGCTTGACGCAGACATTTTTAAATTATAAATATTGAAGCGTGGTCTGAGCTACACGCTGTGGGTCTAGATACGGCCGAGGCAGCGAGGAAGTGGGGCGAGTTTTGTCCGACGACGGAGGGACATGAGGGCCAAAAAGAGCGGAGATCCAGGTGGAAAAAGGGTCCCAGCGTTCTCGCGCACCTCGCTCTTCTAGCGGGTCAAACTTCACGAGTTATTTTCCGCAATTTCGGTCATAAAAACAAAACAAGCCGGCCTCCTGTCTGCGGCACTGTCTGCGGTCAGCTACAATTAGGGAGAGGAGCAGCGGAGCGTCTGTGGAGGGGGCGGGACGTCTGGAGCGGAGGTATTGCATTGCACTCATTGCACTGATTTATTGCAGTATTTTCTCATGCAAGGCCTTTCAGAATCTATAACGCAGGGGTATTATTATTTTTAAGTGAATGAGGTTTTAATAGGAATAGGTGGAGTGCAACTTTTCTACTTCTGTTATTTGCTGTTGTTTCTAAAAAAAATGCATAACGATATTACAGCTTTCATTGATTTAAAGCATTGTATAGCCTGTAGGGTGTTTAAAAAAAAAAAAAAAAAAAATGAACCAATTAATCGAATCGAATTGTGGTGTATTCTTGAGTATTGAAAATATTTCAATCATTGGGTCAGGAAATCAATACTTAATCGAATCGCCATGATGGATGTGTTTTACACCCCTATTACAAACACAGGTAAAAATAGATCATGACAAAAAAAAAATTATTTTTTTATCTTGTCAGTCAAATGGACAGTTTAAAACGTAACCTATGGTTAGACGTCACATTGAAAAGGTTTAATCATATATATATGAGCGTGTATATATATATGATAAAATAATTATTTAAACAAGCCAAACAAGATTTTTCCTCATGTTTAAAAAGAAACAGTCAAACATATTCAGTTTATGTGACCCCCTATGTCTAACTGTGATGTGCTTTATGATGTCATTTCTTTCGCTCAATGCTTTTTCCATTCATGCCTCCTGCGTGTTTGTCTGTCTTTGCCAACCATAGTGTACATTAGAGAGTCAGGTCCTCGATGAAAGAGACAAAGCCCAGCGGCTGCAGACGGAGCTGGATGTCAGCGAACAGGTTCAGAAGGACTTTGTCAAACTTTCTCAGACGCTTCAGGTAAACAGGGACTGCTCAGTTTATATGTGTTGGTTTTTACAAAGTACTAACCTTTCTAGTTACTATTCACCTAAAGAATGGAAATTTTATCGTCAATAGGCTTTCAGGGCAGACAGGAGTCACATATGGAGAGGTCCAATCCTGGGACCTCTTCTATTTAAAACCTACATGCTCCCACAATTTCAGATAATATTAATTCTATTCAGTTTATTTCTATAGCACCAATTCACATCATGTCATCTAAAGGCACTTTCCAGTTCACCAGATCATCCAGTCAGATTGATTCAAAGTTTTCTATCTAGGGAAAACCAGTTGATTGCATCGACTCATTGACTCTTCAGCAATCCCTCACACTAAGCATGCTTGTAGCGACAGTGGAGAGGAAAAACTCCCTTTTAACAGGAAGAAACCTCCAGCAGAACCAGGCTCAGTGTGAGCGGCCATCTGCTGAGGCCCACTGGGGTTCAAGGAGACAGAAGCAGACATAGAAAAAGAAGCAGAGATAGAAAAGGCAATTTTAAAAGGCAGCGCCGTCCAGGAAACACACAGCCAGGCAGACGAGCTTCATATAGTACAGTTCTATAGTAAACTAAGGTGTGAATTGTTAGCTCTGTTACAGACCAATTATCTTGCTTCGTGAAGATAGATATATATGTGACGTGCTGCAACTTTGCAATATTAATAACTTCAAAATATAATATAATTGAAGATTAATTATTTTTTATTTTAGTTCTGAAAAAATTAAATAAATGAATAAAATAGAAAAACAGTTTTGGTTCTGGCGGGATGTTTGCTTGTTTTAGTTAATCTACAAAGAGATGAAGTTTTTTGATAAAACGTTTTGTTTGTTTAAGCTGTTTTACATTTATTTATTTATTTATTTATTTACATTCAATGTTTGATTGTAAATTGAGGAAATGTAGAAAACCTCCAACTGTATGGATACCTTTTCACAGTGCCATGTGGCTTTCTAAACAAAAAAAACCCAGGGGGGGATTTTAAACGGCCACACTAGAAAAACAATCTAGAAATAAGTAAAAATTTCTTAAGGGTATTTACCCCTAATTTGAGAATGTAAATGAGTTTGCCAATGGAATGAGTATTTTTACTCTTAAAAAGAGATAATTAGACAACATGCACTTGAAATAAGACAATGAGGTTGTGTTTTTTTTATTTTAAATGTAATTTGTCTTGTTCCATTGGCAAAATGTCTCTTTTACCTCCTCAATCCAAGAACAAATGCACTTATTTTAAAGGGGTCATAGAATGAAAAACCGATTTTCCATTGTCATAGATGAATAATGAAAGTTCAGTGAGCTAAATGTATGAAGAAAGAAGTTCAAACCCCATCAACACCTCCTTTCTCTGCAAATCTCACAATTCTAAACTTCCACCATAAAACGGGTGAATCTATACGAAGCCCACAGTTGACATAAACTCTGGGATGTTGCCTTATTTGGTTCTGAATTTGGTTAGAATTACACATTTACAACAATTAATGAAGAACACAATTTAACTTAAAACACAAAAAATAAAACTTTAACCCACCAGTGTTCTAAGAAACTGCTATGTTTTTTAATCTTAACTGTGCAAAAACTTTGCTGTTTTAAATCTACGTTAAAGGAATAGTACACCCAAAACATGATTAGCCTTCATTTTCTACTCACCCCCATGCTGAACAACACTCTGGAGTACTTTTTTGATATCTCAAATGCATCTGGAGATCTGGGAGGCTTCTTGCTGTCTGCTGACATTCAAATAATGGAGGTCTATGGCGCCCGAGGCAGAAAGGTCCATAAAAGTCCTCAAAAAACGTGTCAATATTCCTCCATACTGCTCGTCCAATGTATTCCAAGTGTCCTGAGTGGGTAGCATCCAGAATTTACTCGAAACAAAGTCATTTAGAATGTTTTTAGGGCATAAACAGTAGTGTATAGGATTTCCTAAAAGCGCGTTCACGAGTCTACGGAAACCGCGGCAGACCAAACCAGATGAAAGTGCGCATTCAGCGTCTGCTCTGCCGATAATGCAAGCGTAGAAGAAGAAATGTGCTGTTTACCTGTGCAAGAAACAACGAAAGAAAAATGTCTGAGGACTTCAGCGTTGAGGAAGAGCATGAGTTCTTTGCCGAGCTGAATGCGCACTTTCATCTGGTTTGGTCTGCCGCGGTTTCCGTAGGGTCGTGAACGCGCTTTTAGGAAATCCTATACACTACTGTTTATGCTCTAAAAACATTCTAAATGACTTTGTTTCGAGTAAATTATGGACGCTACCCTCTCAGGACACTTGGAATACATTGGACGAGCAGTATGGAGGAATATTGACACGTTTTTTGTGGACTTTTATGGACCTTTCTGCCTCGGGCGCCATAGACCTCCATTATTTGAATGTCAGCAGACAGCAAGAAGCCTCCCAGATCTCCAGATGCATTTGAGATATCAAAAAAGTACTCCAGAGTGTTGTTCAGCATGGGGGTGAGTAGAAAATGAAGGCTAATCATGTTTTGGGTGTACTATTCCTTTAAGTTGGAACGGAGGAGAGGGGCTGGGGGGCGTTAAGGCAGACGGGGGGAAGCACGGCGCCGCCTGTGTCTAGGCTACCGTCACCGGGTCTGGTTCGGTCGATACCTCCCCCACTGGCTCCCTGCGTTGGAGCTGACGGCTCGGTTCTGCTGCACTGTAGTCGACCAAAATCCCGGACAATTTTGGAATTCCCCTCAAATTTTTTTAATGAAAAGTAGGACGTGACCGGGAAAAAGGGGACGTCTGGTCACCCTACCATATCAACAATTTGCTGTTTCAGTCAATGAGTGCTTGTTGCTATGATGCGTCTTTGCTCAGCAGCTTTGCTCGTTGTAAACCAACCAATCAGAGCACAGCTCATCTAAATATTCATGATCATACCATAAAAGGAAGAAAACCTGTCGTTTCATTCTAGGGTTTTTAACCAGGCTGCATTAGGGCTCATAGAACAGCTAATATGCCATTTTCAGACCAACCAATGTTACACACCCTATTAGAGACCTGAAGGACCAGATACCCTATAGAATCATTCTATCACCCCTTTAAATAAAGAATAGAATTATGTAGATTTAGATTTTTTCCAATCAGCTTTCTGACCCAGATTCCTCTTAATAATCTGTTCTTCTTTGTTTGTGTCTTCAGGTCCAGTTGGAGCGAATACGACAGGCGGAGTCTTTGGATCGGATCAAAGTTATCCTGAACGACACCAACCTGACCGACATCAATGAACTTCCAGATACATGATAGCTCCAGAACGAAGACTGGCTTTAGTTTCATTCTGTCCCTCCACCACCACCGGCCCGCTAACATTATTATCTGACCCCCCCCCCCCCCCCCCCTAACCACACTGGAAGGACAAGAATCGGCGGATATCCTGTGGACATTTCAAAGCCTTTTTGGGTAGAATAATGAAGAAGAACACTACTACAACATGTAAATAACTAAATGTGTGACTGTGAGTCGAGGCGGTGGAAGCCCCTCTCCTTGTGGGGGGGGGTCTGCCTGTGTCATGTTTCTACTGTAGATACGACTGTGTGTATTAGCTCAACCAAAAACAAGGGTTTGTCATCCTCCAATGCACTTTCCATATTTCTGTCTCCCTCTCCGCTCAAAGCGTTTGATAATCGCTTCTTTAATCCGCTCACTCGTCATTCTCTCGTCTTTTTCTGTCCCGCCGCACCTTGACAAATTATGAAGGATGAGAAATACTTGCACATACTCTAACTGGGACAAGACCATCAGAACGCAAGCAATAGCTTCCACTTTAACGGCGGTTTTGCCGCATTTATCGTCTAAATTAAATGTTTTTCCTTTAATAGTTGCCCTATTCAGATCTGTCAGGGGTTTTTTTTTCTTCCAGAAACACTATTTAACTCCAGGAATAAAGAAGAAGACAACAACGGGTCAAGATTAACGAAGAAATGGGAAGGAATGGATTAGAATTTGCTTCTGTTGTGATTTCCTTTTTTTTCAGATAAGTATTGAACTGATGATCTTAATGTCTTTTTGAAGATCTTAAATGTTAGTGGGGAGCTTTTAGGCACCCAAAGGAAGTGGATTGTTAATGAGCTGTGCCCCCCCACCCCCCTCCCAGCTGCTTGTCTTTAGTAAACTATCATGAAATGGTCCGTCTGTCACTACAAGAACTTCTGTTGTCTGTAAACTGATTTGAATTAAATGACCTCAAAAGTTTTGAGAGCATAATTTTCTGTTTGGAATGTAGATTTAGACAACTTTTATTGTCATTTCATATACATGGTGTATACAAACGGAATTTCATTGTGTACAGCTTTCAGACAGTAAATGAACATTTCCATTCCATAAAGTGCAGCAATGATCAAATGTAAACAGTGTGGAAGAAAAAACTTGCAAAAATACACGTTGATATGGAAGTTTGCAGCATTTAAAGACGAATATATATGGTGCAAATATGCACTTTGATAATTTGGCTACCCTAAACATAAATCGTCTTATTTCAATTCAGTTTATTTCTATAGCGCCAATTCACAACATGTCATCTCAAGGCACTTTCCAGTTCAACCAGATCAGATTGATTCAAAGTTTTCTATGTAAGGAAAACCATCTGATTGCATCGACTCATTGACTCTTCAGCAATCCCTCACACTAAGCATGCTTGTAGCGACAGTGGAGAGGAAAAAACTCCCTTTGAACAGGAAGAAACCTCCAGCAGAACCAGGCTCAGTGTGAGCGGCCATCTGCTGAGGCTGACTGGCCTTTAAATTAGCTATAAACTAAACTAAGAGAGCACATCCAGTTAGTCACAGTCAGAGAAACAGGACTACACTGAAAAACAGGCCGATCTCCAACATCTATAAACAAAGGTGTTGATGGCAGCAGCACAGCTGATATTTCTCTCCAAACAGGAACAGACCAGATGAAGCTACTATGAGAAAAAGCAGAGAGAGCAGAACGTTAGAGATTGAACTAACAGATTCTGCAGAGTGGGAGAATAGAGATAGAATGAAGCAGAATGATGAAAAAGGGGTCCCTATGTCCTCCAGCAGTCTAAGCCTATAGCAGCAGAACTATAGAGATAGCTCAGGATAACCTGAGCCACTCTAACTAGAAGCTTTATCAAAAAGGAAAGTTTTAAGCCTAGCCTTAAAAGTGATGACATGGAGATGTGAGCAACATCTGCACCAAACTTTAAAGGGAAGATGCTGAGACAGCCATCATAAGATGCTGATGGGGTTTCAAAATGTGGATCTGTGATTGGTGGCTCCAAAAAGGGACGTGTGGATTCCCTACCCAGGAGTTAGTGTTGTAAAAATGAAAGCCTGAATTAAAGTAGTCAGACTTTAACTGAATAAAACCCCATTAAAGTGCTACGAGTATATAGAACATAGAGGGTTTCTATAAAGTTTTGTCTCATTTTAGAAACAATTTCCATCAATTTTACTAATGATTATCATGCATTTTCTACAGATTGATCATGAAATAATCAAGGCCGAGATTATTAAGGTTGATTAATAGAAATCCAGACTAGAAAGACTCTACAAACACATCATCCCACTATTTTTTTCAGTATCACTTTTATCCCCTCTGAATGTTTTCTTTTTTAACACTTAAACAGTAGCTGCTAAATACGGAAGAGGATTAGGGCTACTGAAAAAAGGTAACTGATTTTTTAATATTTTAGTTTAAGATGCGGAAAAAAGTCAGAATTCTGACTTTGAATTCTGACAGCAAACAAACATGTTGGCATCAAGCCGTAGCCATGTCTGTTTTAGAGACTAAAGTTACTCTCTTGTTTTAATCACCTTCTGCTCTTCCATCAATGAAATAGCATCACTGGGGACCCCTCAGGGACGTAAAAAGTCTCCTAATTCCACAATTTTCCATAAATGTGTTACTGGCCGTCCCAAACAACTCACACCTTTGTCAGTGAAGCAGAGTGCTCCCACATCTCTTCTTTCATGGTGCCCATCTACATTAAGATCCAAAATTACGAGATTAAAATTCAGAATTCACTGATTCTTGAAACTTTGGCAAAAACATGTCCCACTAAGAAAAGTCCTAATTCTGTTGGAAAGAAATAAAATTTTCATGAATAAAAACAATCAAGGTTATAATCAGGGGTTCCTTTGCAAAAATGCAAGGTTCTTTTAAAGTTTTTTTATTTTATTGTTAATTTAATGATTATATGCTGGCCCATTGCCTATAAAATCAGTTGTCCTTGGATAGGAGATAATCATTTCAACTTGATTAAAAAAACAAAAAGTAATAATTGAATTGAATAATATCTTTACCAAATGAAAGGGTACATTTTAATATGTATTTAAAACTACAAACAGTGAGTTTTGAACAATAATAACCATTATTTTGTGATTGTTCAAAATGTGTCCCACATATTTGTCACCACCGTCAGATATTTATAAAAAGCAATAAAATCAGGCAACTACAAGGTCAACTACATGCCTGAGGACCCCATTTTCAAATCTTCAGCTCTACTGGATGCCTTAAGGTCACTCAAGCTCCTGTAGGTTTGCTATTTTCTCTTAAACTTGTTCATATTTTTTGGACACTGCTAATGTCACAACCATAACATGTCAACACCGTCTCTTTTGTATAAAAAATATTAGATTAGATTATGACATAAATGTTTACTTTTTAAGAAGAGGTCTAAAGTAGCTAGCAACAGAGGGGAAACAAGATGGCTAATGTGAACAACTCATGCATATCATGTGAAAGAGTAGGATTTTGTCACCACCGTCAGACGTCACCACCGTCAGATTTTCTGTCTGACGGTGGTGACGCACAGTCTGGCGGTGGTGACAAAAAACTACAAATGGTTCTCAATGGAGGCTAGAAAATAATTGTTGATCTGTAATGTTTCATTAACCTCTTTTATATTTTTATTTATGTAATTCCGCCTAGATTTCTTACATATTGTATAACCCTAGGGGATGGGGTGTGCCTTCCCTGTCTCTCAATTCACTATTATGCCATGTTCATTTGGTTTACATCATTTGGGATGCACATAGTGCACCTACTACCTACCTACATAGCACATAGTATACAATATTCCTTGTAAGCTATGGCAGGGCAACATTTAACCAAATCTAACATTTACTGTAATTCCCCCCAATTTCATAGTCATTACACTCAACTTTGACTTTATGTATTTTAGGAAGTTATGGCTAGGAAGCAGCTATCTGTGAAGGAAAGAAGGAAAAGAAACAGGGAATATCAAAAGAAATGTGAAGGCCTACTGACAAAAAACCTACATATATTCAAGCAATTACTCAGAAGGTTCAAAATTTCTACCATAATGCAGCACGAATGACAACTGACAAACAGGACACAATCACACGCAAGAAAATAAAGCATCAGAGAATGATTCTGACTGATAATGATATTTCTTAATTGTACCTTATATTCCTTGAAAAATATTTGTCACAGTGCTCATGATTGTTATTTTTTGGACCAAATAGTTAAATAAAGTTAATAAGCAAGAAACCATTGACTTGAATTGTATACAGTTTGGAATTGTATGTTGAAATGAGGCCACTGTCACCACCGTCAGTTCTAAAGTCACCACCGTCAGAGGGCTTTTTATTCGTTTTAAATTAATATGCTTGCAATATGTTTCTTCAGTGCTGTTCTCTCATTAAAGTAATGGTCTCTTTTAATACAAAAATATGTTTGTTAAATAAAAAAACATGACTTTTTCTATTTAGGCTTAAAGTAAACGTTATCTGATGTTAGATATTTTAAAGGACTACACATGATACAGTTAAAAAAAATTAACAAAAATGATTATTCAACATTTAACAGCATAAATGTGTGCTAACAATGCCAGATAAAGATTTAAAAACTCTAAATACTTATTAGACCAAATAATTAAAAAATAATTAGCTTTTTATTGTGTCTGATGGTGTTGACAAAAACAAAGTAATAACTGGAAAAATGCCTATTTTATGAAAGAAATACAAAATGAGGAGGTTGCACCTGTACACTGCTGAACAGCCAAGACCTTGGTCTATAACAATATACCTTCAGATTTTGTAATCCAACTAACTTTTTATTTTCAAAATTAAAACCTGTTTTATCCAAATTCCCAAGAATCAGTGAATTCTGAGATTAAAGTCAGAATTCTGATTTTAATCTCAGAATTCTGAGAAGAAAGTCAGAATTCTGAGATTAAATCAGAATTCTGAGAAGAAAGTCGTTATTCTGAGATTAAAGTCAGAGTTATGACTTTTCCCATATTAAACTGAAAATAAAAAAAATAAAAAATCTGTTAATTTTTTTTTCAGTGGCGCTACTCCTCTTCCGCAGCTAAAACTGTTCATAATTCAGAAACTATTAGTTGATGTATCTTTATTTAGAACATCCTGGTGTAATCTTTTGGCCATTGGGATTTTAAGGGTCATGGACGCCCTTTGTTGCAGCAGTGCTTCCAGATTAGCTGTAATTGCGAGGAAAAAGCTGCAGGGGGAGACAAACATTACTTCTGCTCTACGAAGAAGACTGAAGGCGTGGAGAAAAAAGGGAGACGAAAAAAAGAAATTAGGAGTTGAAGTTAGTTTCCGATTCTCTGTTTGGATAAAGGGCTGTTTCAAAATAAATTTTATTTTCACTTTGTTTACCATAAAACCTTTGATGAAGATTTGTGTAAAATCTGATAGGATGAAGGTATCGAGAACTACAGTATTTTTAAGATGATTCTAAAAATACAGTATATATTGAATGGGAGACATTGATAAGTCAATGTTTTACTTATTTTAAACTGCATGTTAAATAAGTTCCTGCTTTGCTGTTTTTATATTGCAACTGTGAAAAATTTGGTTTTAAAATCTGATGTCTGATTTAAAATATGTGAATATGTAAAGTTAAAGATAAATTACAAAGAAACCCATAAAAGTTATGTAGGCTATAAATATAAGGTTCGAAGTTCCTTTATTGGGGTTTGATTAAATCATGATGTGCTTTATAATCATTTACATTTCATAATTTTGAATTGACCATAACGTAGTTTCAGGTCCTTAAAAAATGCTCTTTGAGTTTATAATAAATATAGAACAGAAAATCCCTTTATTGTCCCACTATGGGGAAACTCTGATGTTTACAGCAGTAAAAAGATTATAGAAAAAAATGGTCACCCAAATGTAGAACTTAGAAAAATTATAACATAAAAGAGAAAAGTAAAAAAATAAAATAAAAAATACTGTACTGTCTCAGACATACTTTTATAATCCCAGACAGAAATTACTTAGTTTATTAACAATATAATACTGTGCATCTAGGTAATAAATAACCAATATACAGCTATGGGCATTTTTTCAGTAATGGATATTTGAAAATATCAGCAACATTAGAGATGTGCAAAATGACAGGAGCAGGTTATTTAACTGACTAAGGTAGAAACTGAGCAAAACCAGCATGAATGTAAAAACTTATTGAGGTTGTTGGGAACAGTGGTGGTTCTAGAGTCTTCCAGCTGCTGGGAGGAAGGATCTGTGATAACGCTCCCTGGTGCATTTAAGGTGCAGCAGTCTGTCACTGAAGGAGCTCTCCAGTTCAGCACCAGCTTCATGCATGAAGACATTACAATAATAAATTTATAATAAACAATAAGATGGACAAGATAGCAATAGATAACTGAACAAATAAAGAAATATCTTTTATAGATATGTCGAGAACGGATATATTTTTTCAACAATACTGAAGGTGGTTTTAATTGATGCTGAAAGAGATAAGAATAAAACACAATAACATTACCCTTTTTGTTGTTTAGAGGAATATTCAAGTTTATGCATAATACGAACAACCAGAATAAATTCCCCCCCCCCATTTGAAGTTCAGATTTAGAAAAGTGATTTTACCTATATTAATAAACCATCTATCTTCAATCATTTTCCATCTTATATATGTTTTTTCTTCAAATATTTTGTTTTTAAGACTCAGATAGTTGGGGAAAAAATTATTGTTTTTAAATTACTGTTTATACAACAATCCATTGCAGATTTAATGTTTATAGTTGAAGGCTATGGAGGACCAATCCCGCCATAATTAAAAATACATACAGAAATTAATGAAGGACTTAATAATATAAAATTATTTGACAAACGATTAATAATATGAATTGCCATGAAGTGCCATTAAATGAAAAAAAATAATAAAAATAAGATATTCCTTCAACAATTGATCAATTATTCATCTAAAAATATATATTTTAACTTCCACTTTTATTTTTCGTGTTTTTCCTGCATTTACGCTGACTTATTTTTAACCCACTTATTTTCTGTTATACATTTTCTTGAAGTCTTTATTTTGTGTTTGTGTATTTATTGCAAGTGGGGTTTTCTTGTTCCGTATTTCCATTGCAACCTTTTTTATTGTTTCAAATTTCTCACAACATTTTTAAAAGATGTTTTATTTTTGTTTCATACTGATTTATACTACATTTTTAAAGCATGTTTTTACTTCACATAAATATTTTTTTTCATTTTATTTTAACATCCTTATGACTGAGTTTTAGAGATTTTTTTCTATTTTGAGAATAAAAAAATAACTTTAGAAGAATTAAGTCGTAACATTACGAGAATGAAATCGCTGATTCAGAAAGAAAGCTTGGAGCTCCACCCAGCAGATGACGGCCGACCAGCTCCACCAATCAGCAACCAGAGTCCACTTTGACCTCCTGCCCAGTTTGATGCTGCTGCTAAAAGATTTCCTGATTTGTCAAACCGATGCTAAAGTATGGCTCTGTTCGAAAACCTAGGACGGGTCCTCCAAGGACGCGGTCTACCTAGACTGGATCCTTCGAAGTCCTTGAAAATAAGGAGACCGGAAGAGTTTAGGCTGTGAATTCGACCAGGTCTACCCTTCGGCGGGTTTTACCGCTATATGCTCTGTTGCTTAGCAACCGTGAACGTTGACACACAAAGTAGGAAAAGAATGAATACCGAAGTTTTCAAAACTGTTTATTTATTTCTTTTTTATTATAAAGTGAACAAAGACTACACTCACAAGAATCCAGAGTGGAATAAAGGTTCCAACCACCGTGAACAAATAAAATCAAATGTAATGATAGAAACCTTAGTCAGTTAAATAACCTGCTGCTGTCATTTTGCACATCTCTGATGTTGCTGCTATTTTCAAATATCCATTACTGTAAAAATGTCCATAGCTGCATATTGGTTATTAATTCTCCAGTTTTATATTGTTAAAACACTTTACAGTATTTTATTGTTTATATTTTAACTCTTCCCTATTATGTTATTCTTATACATTTTTCTAAGGTCCACATTTCTGTGACCATTTTCAATAATCTTTCTGCTTTTCCCATTGTGGGACAATAAAGGGATTTTCTATTCTATAAAAGGGGTAGAAAGATATAAGTAAATCTAAACAATATATTTATAAAAAATATATCTGAAAAATCTCTAATATTCAACAACAAAAAATACTTAGTTAAGCATATTGTGCAAAACAGCAATAAAAAGATAAAAATCCTATCAGATTTATAGTCCCCACTCTGCAGATATATTAGAATCTGTCCTTAAATTATAGCCAAACCCATTTACACAGTAACAGAATAAAACCTTTAGATAAACCAAACATTACCGCCACATATCTGACTCAATAACCATTAAAACAACTATTTTCATTCATTTCAGACGGAACTATTCACAGAGTTGTATTATATTAAAATGAACTTCCAATTTTCACCACTGTTCGGCGCCAAGTAACCTTTCCTCTGATCACAGCTTGCTTGGTTTCGCAATGAATCCTGGGATATCCAAGAATACCGAGGATACATCGGACCCGTCCTTCAAATCGGGCAAAAAGAAGGACGCATTTTAAGGCCGCATAACGAGGACTCTTGGAATCCGACCAGACCTCGGTGCCGCGCTATGACGTAATTGGCCTTCGAATCCGGTCTTCTAAGGATGCGTCCTAGGTTTTCGAACAGAGCCCATAACTTCACATGATGCTCCACATTCCTCATTTTAGGGAAGAAAGGGATTCTTGGAAGAGTTGTCATAAAATTATCTCTCTTAATTTTACGGCTTTCTTCTCTAAATATTACAACTTTAGTCTCTTAATTTATGACTATTCTCGTGACTTTATTCTCATAATTTTATGACTTTATTCTTGTAATTTTATGACTTTATTCTTGTAATGTTGTGACTTTATTATCTTAATTTTATGACTCTTATTTTTATGACTCATAATGTTACGATCTTCTCGAAATAAAAAAAAAACAATCTCCAGCTTGGCCCTCCTTCTATTTCTAAAACAATGATTTATTTTTGCCTCTAACTTTTACGGAAGAGGATTTTAGGGCCCCTGAAAAAAAATTAAAAAGTAATTTTTACATTTATTTTAGTTTAATATGAGAAAAATTCAGAATTCTGACTTTGATTTCAGAATGTTGGATCTTAATGTAGATGGAGATGTGGAGCACTCAGCTTCACTGACAAAGATGTGAGCTGTTTCGGAGGAACAGCAACACGTTGGTGGAAAATTAGGGAATTAGGCGACTTTTTACGTCCCTGAGGGGCCCCTGGTGATGATTTGTTGGAAGAGCAGAAGGTGATTAAAACAAAGAGCTAATTTAGTCTCTAAAACAGACATGGCTATGGTTTGATGCTAACATGTTTGTTAGCTGTCAGAATTCAGACTTTTAAAAATCAGTTAACTTTCTTTATTTTTTTAGTGGCCTTAATCGTCTTCCGTAAACTTTTCTGTTTTTTTTTTTTACCCAAAGGATTTTGCCTTCCCTTTTTATTATTATTTGATTAATTAATTTTTTTTTGGTGTCCCATAAGTCTAGCTCCCCTTTGAGCAACGGAAACCATAAAAATGGTGCACTGTCCCTTTAACCGCCTGCGAACTGGAAGCTAGCAGTCGGAAGCTAACTTCATCGTCGTGGCAGAGGAGCTACTCCTGTTTACAACATAATGGAGCCCAGATGGCCGAAGAGGCGCGTTTTATGCTCTGGTTGTTTGCTATTCTTTATATTTGGTGAGTATTAAATCGTGAACCGGGCTTATTGTTCCTCCTCTGATGCGGGAATTGAAGCTTCCAGCTTTTTTCCTGTGAAAATAACAGGCTCAATAGCTCTGCGATGTTATCGTTGCCCCCACCAGCCTCCTTTCCCCGCCTTAAAAAAGCTTCTCCGAGCCTCAAAGATGGAGCCGATGATGATTCAACACTGAAAAAGTCGTGTTTGTCGTGTAATTGTTCCTTTATAACGGATCCAAACTAACCGATGTGACCTTGGAGATAGCAGGCGTTAAATTGAGTGAAATTTGAATGGAGTTTGGTTGGAGACGGCAGCTGCCGCCCATGTTGGGGGGGCTCCATCTCAACCATGAATAAACTATCTGTTCTTATCAGAAACAATCAGTTACTTGTTTTTATTTTTTATTTTTACACATTTAAAATCTCACCTTCTAAGCAATATAATAGCTGTTTTTCTAAGCTAATTAGTAGCTAGCACCGTTATTCCCCGTATTTACCTACGTGTCACCCAGTGGAGAAAAATCCCTGTTTGTGTTTCTATCTTTTTAAATCAAAGATGTTTTTTTTTTTGCAGTTTGTCTTGTATTTGTGGATGTAGTTCTGGTTTGTAATTTCCGCCTCTTATCATCCTGTTGGCCCAAATCCAAAAGATAACAGCTCATTCCTGTGTTCCAGCAGACAGGCAGCCTGTTAGCATTAAATGTTATTAATTCATTTTTCTGGAGTTAAAATGAAAAAGCTGCTCAGCATGGAGTTATTCTCAGCATCCTGCAGACTGGAACACATTAGAATAAAAATAGACTTTATTTACCTGCAGCAAAGTGGTGATACACTGTATGGAGGACCAACTGTGCCATATTTAAAAATAATTACAGGAATAAATAAATAAGCATACAATTATTTCCCCCTAAAAATACAATAAACAAATCAATATAGGTAGAAATTAAATTATACAGTGATACATCTTTTAATTAGCTTCTTTATTTATTCCCCTTTTTAATAATTACCTTATTTAAAAGAAATTGCGATGCAAGCCAAATCGTTCAAGAGCATCTTCATTATCAGGCGTTTGTCTCGGTGAGATGAAGTCTGTTTGATCTTTGTTAATATAGATTTTCAATTTCAATTTAATATCAATTTCAATTTATCTTTATTGTCATTGTCACAAGAACAACGAAATTTTATAAAGTGCCATCGATCAGTGCATATGCTTAAAAACAAAAATCACTGTCCCACCATTTACGCACAATATAAGAAATAAATAACAATAATGGTTAAATATCCTCTTCATTTATATTTTCTCCAGGATTGATGTAAATCATTTATAGGAACAGAAATGTCTAAATGAGTTACAATTAAGTTTATTCCTTTATTCAGTCCTACATTTTTAAACAGCATTTTATTCTGGTCAAGTCACAGCATCAAAAAATTTTTTTATTCATCTACTACTTACATTATAGATTACACATTCAGCCTAAATGAAAAGTGGCCTCTAATTCAAATTATAGAAGCAAAAAGTGAATAAGCGAGGGACGTTATGATCATTGCAAAGCACTCAACTCCACAGTGAATCAAGGTTAGGTTTGCAGCTCAGATTGTGTGAGTAATCTGCTTAAATCAGATGAAATTAATAATAAGGAGTTTCAAACAGACATAATTGTCCAGTCTAAAGTATCCTATAAGCAAACTCAACTGAATCCATAATCGTCGTAGTTTGGTTATTTTTGCAGAAAATTGAACAGCTTCCTTTTTCCAACAGCGAGTTAGTGTTTTCCTCTGAGCCATTTGGGAATATTTTATGCAGCAGATCCAATGTTTTGAAAGGTTGAAATGGATCTTTAATCCTCAGGCAGCAGCGTAACAGACGGAAAGTCAAAGTACCGCTTTAAAGATACATGTCCTTAAATTCTAACGTGTGGAAAGCAGAAGTGGTCTGCTCTAAATCTAACGCTGATATCATCTGACAGGGTGGAAATGGAGGACAAACACCTCCTGTTTATTTTATGAATCTTGTCCAACTGAAGTTTTAATGATGTTTGAGTTGTTTGTCTTTCTTATGCATTCGCTGAAGTTATTGACATGCAGGCTATTAGATTCCCTTCTTTACTCGAAAGCTCTGAAAGTCACGTGTTTTCCAGTCATGGGAATTTTTTCTTTCTTTATTGGGTGAGGTTTAAATGGAGCTGTGAAAAACTAGTTATTGATTAGTAGCCTCTACATGTACTGTTCTACTGGAATGTCTCATTCTGCCCTGAATTTTACCGTGTTTTATGCAATAGATCAACACAAAGTGATCCATGTTTTTATAGAAGTCGTAGGGAAATCCTATTTCAATTTCAAATCATTCTGGCTTAAATATGTTTATAAATGCACTCTTTATCAGACCATAATGTCCCAAAAGTTAGAAAATTTTTATTTAAAAAAAAATCCTGTCTTAAAATCTGTTTTTTTTTTTCCTTTATCTTCTGCAGGCCAGTTAGTTCTACTTCAGCCTGAACACCTAAATTCGGCCAATCATATACCAACGGTCATCTGTCAATCAAATGTTTTCGGTCATAGCATCTTGGTTCATATGTCGCAGCTAATATACGCAACGGTTGAAATCAGAATCCTTTCCTTTCCCATTGAGTTCCGTCCCATTGTTCACGGGGATGGACGTCTGTGTCTTCGGCAGGCGTAGAGCTAACAGAACTGGCAGCGTTGCGAGGCAAGGGCTCAAACATGTACGGCTGGAAGCCTTCTACACCAAACCAAGCTTCTGCCGCCCTGGCGTCCTCTTCCACAACATCTTCGTCCCCGCTTTCCTCCTCTAAATAAAAAAATGGATGACGGAGGAGACTCATCCACGACCTCCGACACTAAACTCTCCTCCTCTAGCATGTTTCCTCTGTCCATAGCGTTCCTTGACAGCGTCGTTTCTATGTCACCAATTTAGTGCTACTTGGTCCCAATGGAATTTCCCATTGGGAACCTACTAGCACTAAGTTGCTAACTGGTTAGCAAGATGCTTCAGAGAAACCGGCCACCACCAATCTTGCTTGCAAACCTTCCGCAACAACAATCCCGCCCCCTTGATAATCGTCCAATCACATTCACTTTATTCATTCAAGTAAAGTCGGGAGAATTCGGAAATGCAACGATTGGAACAGCCGCTTCCCTACGACTTTAAAAACTACTTAGAAAATCCAGCAATGGCAATATGAGGTGCAATTTCTATCTTTTTTGTTCTTCTGTGCTGTGTTTCCATTAGACTGAGACGTTTAGGGTTTTTGACAAAGTCATTAGTATTTGATGTGAGCAGAATGTCACATTTGCTAAATATGACACTAGGATATAAATACATGATCATTATATAAGACAACATTCTTGCACTTCAAACAGTCCACTATGATGTGATATTGCACACCCTGGCATTGCTTTTTAGGTCATGAGGCAGTTGAAGAGCTAGTTAGCTCCCTCAGTGACAGATTGCTGAGTTCTAGATGCACAAAGCAGCACCGTCTCTGATCCTTCTTCCCAGCAGCTTTTAGACTATAATCATCACGGCTCCCAATAAACTCTGGATCTACTTAAATCCCTGTTGGTTTGTTTTTTGGATTCTTCTGCCTTGCATTTTTTTTAAAATTCATAAATATATATAATTATAGAGATTTCCCTTAGGTGCTTTATTCTCCTCTTATCTTTCTAGAAATGTGTCTAGATCAGCTCCAGTACACTCCTCAAAGCAAACCTGAATAAAATGAACTCACTTATTATTAGACTCCTGTCAAAATGTGTACTGGTGCAAATCACGTCATAAATAGGCTTAGGGTATACATCGAGTATATTCAACATATATCGCCCACCCCTAGTTCCTATTTTGCATTTTTGACCCACATTGAACTCCGTATCATATTTCAAGCTAGATGACGTGAACAGGGTGGATGCATAATTAGCTTATCTAAGGTATGTTATTACAGAACCTTATGACATCACTGGAGGCCATGAGTAGAGGATAGAAGACAGGGTTCCCAGGGTCCTTAAAAAGTCTTAAAAGGCATTGAATTCTTCAAAATAAAACCAAGGCCTTAATTGGTATTAAATGTCTTAAATTAGTCTTTCGTAGGTCGTAATATTTAAAACATCATAAATAGGATTATTTTTATTACGATTTATTTTTGTAATCTAAACGTTCAAATTGACAATTTTTTTTTTTTTTGAAAAAAAAAAAACGGCTCTCCATTATTGGTTCCGTCCCGATAGCGGAACCAATAAAGCGTTGTTGCGGCCGGGACATTTGGGAGATGCACCATTAACTTTTGTCTGGAAAATATGAGCAAGTGTAAATGTAACCAAAATTGTCTCCAGCCAAGAGTTTTCTCCATGGCTAAAACCAGGGAACATACATGAGGCTCAGTGGATTTAGTGCAAGAAGTCATTCAAGCTCAGAACGATGGGAATTAAGGCAGTGGAGTCGCACATGCGAAGCACGAAACACAAAGCGTCAAAATGGAGTTACCGAGAAACTAGGGATGCATGATATAATCGGCCCCCTATCGGTATCGGCCTTAAAACTGAATATCGGACATCGGCCATCCCACCGATATTTAACCCGATATTTGATCAGCTTCTAACCCTTCTTCCTCAAAAACTTCTTTTTTACAGACTTAAAAACTTCTAAAGAAGAGGGGAAAAATATTGATACATTAAAATATCCCAATATCTTCTTATGCTGATATATTGCCATTTAAAAACACCATATCAATCTCTTTTACTAATGAAATATTGCTATATGTCATCATTATGCTACGAAATCCACCGAAAATTCACAAAATGTTGCCATATTTTTATATGTTGATATATTGACGCGGTATCGATCTATTTTACTAACAAAATCTCACAAGAATTTGCAAAATATCACGAGAGTTTGTAACAGAACGATGAAATTTCACGAGATTTTGAAAGTAAAATAGATCGATACCACGTTTTTAAAAATCAATTTGATTTCAGCATATGAAAATATATTTGAGTATATTATTTTTCAAAGTGTCAGAAATGGATAACAAAACTGATATTTTCAATGACTACTTATTTTTGTCCAGCTTTAACATCGGTATCGATATCGGTTATCGGCTACATGAGTTTTAAAATATCGGCATATCGGATATCGGCCAAAATCCCAATATCGTGCATCCCTACGAGAAACAGCCGGTATTTCTCAGTTTAGTTCCACCCTTGTCTCTGCAACGCCTCCTCTTATCACCAAATCAAACATACTAAGAAAACCATACAAAGAAAAATAGCTGCAAAAAAGACTTAGCACTGGTTATGTTGGGGCTTTAAAACTGATTAGTTTTGTTCCCTGCTAAAACAAAGTTTGTGAATTCAGTTAAATAATTGTTCAAATATATCTGTCATTTGTGTGTTTTTAGCTTTCTTCCTGTATCGGAAGCTTTTCAAAATTTGAAACATTAGTGCAGTGGTTTATGTTAAAATAAACCTTTGGGTTAAGTTGTCGCAAGCAGGTTTTTCTTGTGTTTCTTGTGAATTTGGTCTTAAAGTTTTATTTCGAGTGGCATTAAAAAGTCTTAAAAAGTCTTGGATTTAACTTGCCTTATGCTGTAGGAACGCTGGAAGAAGAAGCATAAATGTTGCTTTTCAAAGTCTGAATTTTGGTGCATATAAGATGAATACTTGGTGAGAAATAACCAAAAATTCAAAAGTAGGGGAAACGAGCAGAAAATGTTTTTTCTCTTCTGTTTTGGCAGAAACATGCTGTTGCAGCCTGACTCTTCCTGTAACTCATTGTTTCTCCACTGCCCCCCTGCTGAGCCGTGCGTCGTTTTAACACAGTTGTTTTCACTCGGCCACCCCCCTGCTGACATGCACTAAGTCATATGTCCTGTTACTAATGCATTCCTTAACACCAGCCATGTTTTCTGTTCTCTTCCTTGAACAGTTACAGGACCCGTGTCCGCGGTCGACATATACACCGACCCTGAAGTGATAGTGCAGAACGGCACCACAGGAGTCCTGCGATGCACCTTTAAGTCCAGCGACGTGGTGACCAAAGACACCACTGTGACCTGGAGCTTCCAGTCCAATCAGCCTGATCATCAGTACTACAAAGCTCCATATGTGGTGAGTCCCTGCTGCTGGTGTCCCCTCTGGAAAGTTCCCCACACAGTCCCAGGATGGTTTCCTGCAATTGTCGATCTGCCCTGACCATAAATAAACGCTGCAGCTGTTCCTATGAGATGAAAGTGACGATTTCGCGTCCCCTGCTTTGTTTGGGCCACTTTTTTGTATTTTCGTTGTTTTACCTTCCACACATCTGTCATTCTGTGGTTATGTTTGCATCATACAGCTGCACGTAAACCGTATCTGCTCAGGCTGCTTGTGATTATTATGCTTGCGTCACCAAATCACAGCAAGCATATTGACTCCGTTTAGGTAGAATAATTGATTTAACTCATACAATCTATTGAACCTTCTAAGGAAAAAATTAAGTGCTAAATGATTATGCCCCTAAAACATGCTCAAATTCACTAAATCCAATTAAAAAACAGCCTAAAAAGTCCATCTTTATGTCCTATTATTAAAAATATATTCCAGCCCCTTTAAAAGAACAAAACAACAACAAAAACTGTCTGGTTTTGCCAGAGCCTCCCCTTTTTTGCTATGGTCTCCTGTGAAAGTAATGACATGGCCTGAAGCTCTCTAATTTGCAGAGAAGTCATGCCAGAGCAGATGCATGCTGTCAGCATTTGGGAAATGTTTGTTGCACAACCTGTTTTTTTTTTTTTTTTTTCTCTCTCTGAAGTTTCAACCATTTCTTGTTCAACTAAACCAACAGTTTCCTTTTTCGGTTTGAGACACAGATTGTTTGGAGGGAAAGCTTTACTGTAGCCTTTGTCTGTCTTTCTCTGTAGGTCAAAGTTGTTTAAAAGACTATTCATTATTTTTTTTAGCCATTTGTCCTTTTGGATTCCCTATCATATCACTTTTTGTTTAATTTGTGCCCCTCCATCCATCCATCCATGCATCCATCCCTCCATCCATCCATCCATCCATCCATGCATCCATCCATGCATCCGTCCATCCATCCATCCATGCATCAATCTCTCCATCCATCCATCCATCCATCCATGCATCCATCCATGCATCCGTCCATCCATCCATACATGCATCAATCTCTCCATCCATCCATCCATCCATCCATGCATCCATCCATGCATCCGTCCATCCATCCATACATGCATCAATCTCTCCATCCATCCATCCAACCCTCCATGCATCCATCCATGCATCCGTCCATCCATCCATACATGCATCCGTCCATCCATGCATCCATCCATGCATCCGTCCATCCATCCATCCATGCATCCATCCATCCATCCATCCATGCATCCATCCATCCATCCATCCATGCATCCATCCATCCATCCATGCATCCATCCATCCGTCCATCCATCCATGCATCCATCCATCCATGCATCCATCCATCCATCCATCCATCCATCCATCCGTCCATCCATCCATCCATGCATCCATCCATCCATCCATCCATCCATGCATCCATCCATCCATCCATCCATGCATCCATCCATCCATCCATCCATGCATCCGTCCATCCATGCATCCATCCATGCATCCGTCCATCCATCCATCCATCCATCCATCCATCCATGCATCCATCCATCCGTCCATCCATCCATCCATGCATCCATCCATCCATCCATCCATCCATAAATGCATCAATCTCTCCATCCATCCATCCATCCATCCATCCCTCCATGCATCCATCCATGCATCCGTCCATCCATCCATACATGCATCAATCTCTCCATCCATCCATCCATCCATGCATCCATCCGTCCATCCATCCGTCCGTCCATCCATCCATCCATCCATCCATCCATCCATCCGTCCATCCATCCATCCCTCCATCCATCCATCCATAAATGCATCAATCTCTCCATCCATCCATCCATCCATCCATCCCTCCATGCATCCATCCATGCATCCGTCCATCCATCCATACATGCATCAATCTCTCCATCCATCCATGCATCCATCCATGCATCCGTCCATCCATCCATCCATGCATCCATCCGTCCATCCGTCCGTCCGTCCATCCATCCATCCATCCATCCATCCATCCATCCATCCATCCATGGCAGCAATGATTTAAAGCAATGATGTGCTGGTAAAAGTGTGAACTAGGGGAAAATAATGATTACAAACATTTAAATGTTTCAGAAAAACCAAAACCTTAATTTTTAAAGCTATCAAAATATATAATTCTATGATGTCAAATAATTTCCTGTTGAGTGCATTTTTGGTTTCAGGTGACCAGTCTCTGCCTGAAGTTCACCTTTACTTTTATTACCTGCTATCTAGTATCAGCAGCTTTTCCTGTAACTCCACTGTTATAAAAATCAAAGACAGCCTTGTTTTCGGTTACGACTTCTAACCATAACTGCTATTTTATTGCTTTTAGGTTGTCAATAGTTTTAAACCCATCTGTATCACTTCCTGCTGCTGGGAATCATGTAGTGTTCAAAAAGGAGGAGAAGCTAAAGTCTCGTACTTGATTAGGTTGGCACTGAGTGCAAACCAGTCCTTTCTGTATGCTGGTGAAGATTCTCAGTCATTCCAAAAAAGTTTGTTTTCCAAGTTTGAAGATGTTTCACAGACTTTTTTTTATAGTTTTTTTTATTTAGAAAGCCTCCTGTAGGGGAAGCAAAATGTATTTAAACTTGGAAAACAAAGTCCAGTGGTTTGATTTTTTTAAACTTTTTTGGAATCAGTCCTTTTCTGCTTGTTGATATTCAGCTTTACAACATAAAAACATTTTAATCCGAATATGCCATGATGTTTGTACTACGTTTTGAATCAATGCAGCCCCTCAGCATGATGCAGCCACTTCAAAACCTTTCCTTAAATTTGATTTTAAAGGGTTTGGATCAAAGAAACCTCCTGAACTCCTCCAACTATGTTTGTCATTGTGGATAAAAACCTTAGTCTGAGTCTGACCTGATAATAAAATTATTCTAGTCAAGGCTTCAGGTCGGGATAGCTTAGCAGCTAACTCGGATTTGTCCAGGTGTTTATTAAGCCGTACGTTAATAACTTTTTAGAAACCCCCCCAAATCCCCCCTTTTTTTTCCCCATTCAACCGACACCATGAAATCTAAAAGCATTCTTTGCCTTCTGACACAATTTCACCCATTTAAAGGAAAAGTCCGGTCAGCAGGGAATAATCAACGGATCATTATTTATACCTAAAAATAATATGTTTGCAGGCATTTAATGAATTTAGCATTAATCACTAAAAAAAATAAAAATGATAATTTTTGTCACGATCACTGAGTCTGGGAGCGCCCATTTTTACCCAAATATAGTAGCCCCTCCCTCCTGCCATCTTCCAGCAGTGACGTCACGGTGCGGTAAGCCTAGCGCCATTCTCCCCGCTTTACAAGCTAAATCAATGGGAACTACTAGACACATCTGCAATCAACAACAATTATTGAAGATTTCCAGAGGACTTCACCATTGAAATTCACCAGAGCTATAGTGAAACTGACAATGCCCACGTGCATGGCAGCTGGATGCTGGAATACATCGGGGAAAAGTGAAAAAAAGAGTTATTCCACCTTTCTGATTCCTGATCCTCCACGGACGGGTTGGTCGTTGGATCGCCAACTTGAAGAGGGAGGATTTGCCATCGAACTTCTGGCCAGAGAAAAAACCCGTAATATGTAGCCAACATTTGGAAGAAGAATGTTTTCAAGATGACTTGGATAATAGTGCGTTGTGACAAACACCAGATACAGCACTGGGACTTGATCAACAGCCGATACCGCACCGTGACGTCACTAACCAGTAGGTGGCAGTAGTGTTCTTTGACAAACATGGATGCCTCCAGTAAAGCACATTCACATGAAAATTACTATTAATTAAAAACACTGATCATTTATTGAACAGGATGGAATCATTTCAAGTTTGAATTCTGAATATGAGCGGACTAGTCCTTTACATTTTCTGGGTCTACATTTTCCCTGATTTAAAAAGTGCTGGGGCTCCATTTATAAATCTCTTCTACAAACAAACCGGGGCCTGTAACTTGCATACACCAAAGTCTGCTCAATGGTTGTGATTTATAAAATACGAAATGCCTGCTCCCTCACGCCATCTCTGACCCATCCACACAGATATACATATTTTGGATAGTGGGTAAACTGGCGACACAGATGGTGTCTGAGGGGGAACTGGAGCCAGATTGTATCATCATTTCTCACACGTTTGTCATTTCATATCAAACCTCAATCGTAGATCAACTTTATCAGATGTGAAGTGTGATTCTGGCACAATTCTGAGACGACGTGTTAAAAATCATTCTTAAAAAGCTTATTATTAAAGCTGTTATTTATTATCACCAATGAACTGAAAATCTCTATCTTTATGTTTGCCTTGCCTTAGAAATTGATATTTATATATAGATATTTATAATATTACCTAGTGATTGTAGAGATTGACATTACAATGAGACTGCAGGTTTGCGTGTTTATTATGAAAATATATTGGTATAATAAAAATAATCAAATTATCAGGGGAAAACACTATATAAAATAAATTGTGGCCTAAACACAACCATTCTTTCCCATATTAAGCATTAGAGAGATGTCCTGCTTTACCAGATCAATGGGGATCTTTTTGTTTTTATGAATTATTTACAACTTATAAGTGATTCTCTACCTGAGCTGCTTTTATAAACAAAACAAATTATTTGAATGAATTCATAAATCTGAAATATCCCGGTCGGTTCTCAGCACAATGCTGCCTTGATGTTGTTCATCTAATCAGTCCATCAGAGTCTGAAGGTTTCCTTAATAATCCTTTTTTATTTATTTGTTGCCATCAAACATTTAACTGGCTCCCAATCTCCCAATTGTCACAATTGTTTTATTGTCTGTTTGTAAAGAGATTCTAAAGGTTTTAGTGAGGTTTTATTTGCCTGTGACCAGGTTGTAAGACAGTAGGTGATGTGCGACAGAACCATACTGTACATGAACATTTTAGCTGCCTGAAGTGACAAGTTTGACCTTATGAAACAGAAATTTGTAATATTGAATTTGATTCTATTGCACATGTTTTTGATCTGGGATTTAAAAGTGAATTTAGAGTCTATTAGGATGCATGGACCATTCATTCATGTTATGTTATGTACTGTTTTAACTTTATAGGTCAAAAACAACATAAAACACTTATTTGTGGCTTTTCTTTGCCGTCCACCAGTTGTCATACTTCCTTTTTTTTTTTTATAGTTTCTAATTATATTTCCTTTTCCTTTCGTAGATTTACTATTTTTTCAGTGGAAAAGAATATCCTGGGCCAGAAGAATTTAAAGAGAGGGTACAGTTTATTGGAGACATCAACAAAAAGGATGCCTCGATACAGCTGAACCCGGCTCAGTTCAGCGACAATGGGACCTTCTTCTGCGACGTGAAGAACCCCCCAGACATAGCAGGAACTCCGGCTCGAACAGAACTCAGGGTCGTTCTGAGAGGTAAATATCTGTCTGTTTAAAAGCAGACTGTCCACCCATACAGATGTTTATGTGAAATCATACTTGGCCAAGGTCTCCCACCGTTAGAACTCCATCACATTTTGTCCTGTTATAACCTCAGAAATCAGTGTAATATATTTAGATTTCAGTTGACCTTTGGATTTATAGCTGTAAAGCTTCTACATGTGAAGTGGAAGGAAAATGATGCTTCTCAAATATATATATATATATATATATATTAGGGATGGGACGATTTATGAAAACCGTCAGAACCGTTCGGTTCAACTGTCTCGGTTCGATTCACGTGTGTTTCGTTCGGTTCATGCGCTGCTCCTTTTTCTCATAGGCGAAGCGTTTACACTCCAGAGCAGAAGGTGGCGGTACTGCGACCAAAGCCAACCACCAGTAGTAAACAAGAAGAAGAAGAAGCGAAGCAGCGTAGCCGGATGTAGCAGAAAAAAATCAGTTGTTGTGGAGAATTGTGTCGGACTGGCGAGTGGGAAAGAACAGGAGTTGGAAGACGCGCCAGCAGCACTTTATAGGTCTGCTGTATGGGACCACTTTGCATTTAGAGTGACCTACGATGGCTGTGGATAAAAGTGGAACAGTGTGCAAGCATTGTGCAACACGTTTTGTTTATACTAACAGCAACATGACCAACATGTCATGCTAACCCCGAAATCCCTCATACTCCGTCAGCAACCCCCGCTCCGCCCCGCTGCGCTCCAGACCGGCTGCTCAAAGCAAAGCCTACAGCCCCCGCTGTGGCTTCGTCTGCTCCCCTCTGAGTTCCTTGGAGATGGTAGAGAGCATGTAAGCTGACAACAGCCAGATGCATGTGGCAGAGCGAGACATGCATCTGGCTGTTGTCAGGTTAGATAGCATGTGCCAGAAGATTAAATTCAAAGCAGCAAACATACGGAAAAGATCCAGGGTTTCCGCGGATCATTTAAAATAATTACAATCCATTATTTTTGGGGGGATTTGTTCATTAATTTCATAATTTTTTATGGAATTTCGGTGTAACAATCAACATGTATCGAATCGAACCGAAAACCGTGACCAGAAACCGAGAATCAAACCGAACCGTGGATTTTGTGAACCGTTCCACCCCTAATATATATATATATATATATATATATATAAATATATTTATTAGGGGTGTGCAAAATAATCGTCATGACGATGCATCGTGATTCTTATTTTCGTGATCTACTGCATCGATTCTTGACGCCAAGTATCGATTATTAATTTAAAAAAAATGAATAAATAAAATTGCATGAATGGTTGGTGAACATCAGCCAAAAACAACTGTAATACAACTTCCAGTCCAGTAGATGTCGCTGCGGATGTGTTGACGCACGCTGCCTTGTGTCACAAGCATTTCCGTCCGCGGGATACTGCGCTGAGTCATTCAAAAACAAAACATGGAGGAGAAAATATTGCAATGCATCACAATAATTCAAGTATCGTGATGCATCGTGATAGAATCGCATCATGGCCTATGAATCGTGATTCGAATCGAATCGTGACTTCTTTGGCAATACCCACCCAATATATAATATATATACATATATATATATATATATATTTATTATTATTATTATTATTATTATTATTATTATATATATATATATATATTTTTTTTTTTTTCAAACTTGTACATGGATTTGTAAAGACTGAAAGATTACCCGATCTTTGCCTGATAGAACTTGTAAAGCGCCGCCTTCAGTGCCGATAAACGTTCAGCAGAAGTTAGGTGTTGCAGAACTTCAGTTTTCGGAGCTACTTGTTAGTTGTTTTGCTAATTCTTTATAGGAATTTGTAGGGCTGGGTATCATTCAAAAATTTTCGGTGCCGGTACCAATACCGATACCTTCACTTCGATACCGGTTCCTGAACAATGCATTTTTCGATACCAGTTTTATAATATCAATTCGAAGAAAAAAGAAAATTAAACAACATAATAAAGTACAAATCTTGAGTTTTTACATTTACATTTTTCATCTTACATTAAAAAAAAATTTCAGTGAAGAAGAACAGTTGCAAACAAGTCGGTGTCTAATATTCACTGTTGCATTGTGAGGAACTTTTTATTTAGCAGTTTTTCTTTAGAAAAATTAACATGTCTGCTTTCTCAGGAGAAAGCAGACATGGGTCTGACAAGTAACATTGGGGTGACAAGTAACATTTTTTCTGTTGTATTTTGCTCATAGGTTAAAAGGGTTTATTGTGGTCTTTTCTAACCAGAGCTGGTTCTGGTTTATGTCTACCGTCTACGACACATGGAAACTTACCACCGTACCATATAACAGACTTTAATTCCCAATTAGGTGACCTTTGAAGGCAATCGTTTGCACTGGATTTATTTCTAAGAGTAAAGACACAAGACTAATCCCCATATTTTTTTGATTTTTGAAAGTATGCAAAATGATAAAGCCTTGTTTTATTTTCCTTCCGATTATTGGTCTATAGCATAAAACTGGTAAACCTGAATCAAAAGTGGTGATTAACTTTATTGTAGTGAAGAGACTTTGGCATTTATTTGAGGGGTATCCAGGAGGACTGAGCAAACAGCCCCACATGTGCCTGCATGTTTGCAATTATTTTCATGGTGTGAACAAGTTCATGTGATGACTTGTCTACAGAGGTTTCAGCTCCTTTCTGGTGGGAGATTGCTCTCTATCTCAGGATCACATGTAAAAACAGAACATGTTAGCTGCAGGCAAACAAGCCGCTTTAGATTTGATGACAAACGGTTGCCATAAACGCACATTTCAAACCAAAAGAGCAACATGGAACCTGTCAGGCTGCTTTGTCTGTGCATTTTCTCAGCAGACCACAGAATATTTCCAGGTGGACAGTTATTTTTTTCCACTTTAAAAGTCATAAAACTGTTTAACATAACTCTATGGCACATCTGGGTGATTGTCGCTGAAACTTTCGATTAAACGTAGATTAAACAGGGTTTCTGCGGGTCATTAAAAATCATTAAGTCATTAAATTATTATTTTTTTTTATAAATTAAGGCCTTAATTGGCATTAAAAATTATTAAATGTGATATTTTTTTTAAATACATAAAAAAAACCAACATTTTTTTCAGATATATTAAATTGCAATATATTTGTGCGGAACAGCTCCAGGTTGATCATAAATCCAGTGGCTGCTGGTGGAGTTTTACCAAAAACCAATCAAATGTATCCTAAGATAAATAAACTGAATTCTGACAGCTAGTAAACATGTTAGCATTTAGTCATAGCCATGTCTGTTTTAGAGACTAGCTCTTTTGTGGGGTGATAGAATGATTCTATAGGGTATCTGGTCCTTCAGGTCTCTAATAGGGTGCGTAACATTGGTTGGTCTGAAAATGGCATATTAGCTTTTCTATGAGCTCTAATGCAGCCTGGTTAAAAGCCCTAGAATGAAACGACAGGTTTTCTTCCTTTTATGGAATGATCATGAATATTTAGATGAGCTGTGCTCTGATTGGTCGGTTTACAACGAGCGAATCTGCTGAGCAAAGACGCATCATAGCAACAAGCACTCACTCACTGAAACCAGGGTTCCCGCGGGTCCTTGAAAAGTCTTAAAAGGCATTGAATTCTTCAAAATAAAACTAAGGCCTTAATTGGTATTAAAATGTCTTAAATCAGTCTTTCGTAGGTCTTATTTTTTAAAACATCATAATTAGGATTATTTTTATTACGATTCATTTTTTTAATCTAAATAAAACATTAAAATTGAAAAAACATTATTTTTTTATAAAAAAAAAAAAATAACGGCTCGCTTTTATTGGTTCCGTCCTGATAGCGGAACCAATAAAAGCGTTGTTGCGGCCGGGACATTTGGGAGATGCTCCATTAACTTTTTGTCTGGAAAACATGATCAAGTGTAAATGTAACCAAAATTGTCTCCAGCCAAGAGTTTCCTCCACGGCTAAAACCAGGGAACATACATGAGGCTCAGTGGATTTAGTGCAAGAAGTCATTCAAGCTCAGAACGATGGGAATTAAGGCAGTGGAGTCGCACATGCGAAGCACGAAACACAAAGCGTCAAAATGGAGTTACAGAGAAACAGCCGGTATTTCTCAGTTTAGTTCCACCCTTGTCTCTGCAACGCCTCCACTTATCCCCAAATCAAACATACTAAGAAAACCATACAAAGAAAAATAGCTGCTAAAAAGACTTAGCACTGGTTATGTTGGGGCTTTAAAACTGATTTGTTTTGTTCCCTGCTAAAACAAAGTTTGTGAATTCAGTTAAATAATTGTTCAAATATATCTGTCATTTGTGTGTTTTTAGCTTTCTTCCTGTATGGGAAGCTTTTCAAAATTTGAAACATTAGCGCAGTGGTTTATGTTAAAATAAAGCTTTGGGTTAAGTTGTCGCAAGCAGGTTTTTCTTGTGAATTTGGTCTTAAATTTTTATTTCAAGTGGCATTAAAAAGTCTTAAAAAGTCTTGAATTTAACTGGACTTCTGCTGTAGGAACCCTGTGAAACATCAAATTGTTGATATGGTAGGGTCACCAGACGTCCTCTTTTTCCCGGAAATGTTCTACTTTTCAGACGTAAAAAAAAAATCTCAGGGAGGAATTTAAAAATCTCCCTGAGATAATCTGATGGCATTTTAGCAAAGGGATTTTTCTCAAAAATATAATCAATGTGCACAAATAAACTGTAGTTGTATTAGCCATACATGTAAACAGAGTTTTATGGGGCCCTAGGCAACAGCCTAGTATTGCCTAATGGTTGAATCCCCCTCTGGACTAGAGGCAAGTGAAGCAGCTGACAGGCAGGTGGCGCTTTAAATTTATGTTATAGGACCAGCGCTTCTTTTTAATGTGTTAATCAGACCTGAGGTTTGTATTGCAGAGAGTAAAGAAATGCTGTTTTTCATTGTAAAGGCGATAAACATTCGTCTTACGGGTTTTTCTTTATAAAGTCCTTTTCCACTCAGAGAGGCTTTGTACAATAGCCTGCTACACTTGAAACATGAAAACAATGTTATATTTGTGGTATCAATCATTGTTTTACTCTCTGACTGCTGCTGCTGTTGTGTTCCTGCAGAGTCGCTCCCTCAGAGCAACACGAAGATTATAATCTGGGCAGTCTGCATTGCTGTGTTTCTGCTCATCATCATCGCTGTCGCCGCTTGCTTCGCCATAAGGGTGCTTCACAACCGGCACGATTACGAAGGGTGAGTAACGCTCAGTTTAATGCTTTAAACAAGTATACAGGAGTTAAGTTTCCCTTTTTTCATGCAAACAACTTCTAAAGTGGCAGAACTCTTCACTTTTGGCCATAGGTGTTTGTATTCAGCAACATTTATCTGATTTTATTTGGAAAAAGTAGAAACATTAAATATTTTACTTTTCCATTTAGTTTGATGCAGAAGAGACTGAAATTACTTTAAAGTATTTATTGCCTTGTTTTGTTTTATTGTTGTTTATTCTAATCCTAACAGAAAATGTTTATTAGTCTTTAATTGCATGGTTGATTATATTGGCTGCATGTTTGTGTTCTCTACCAAGCCAAGCTAAAGACGAATGTCTTATTTTCCTTCCAAAAATCCTGTTTGTTGACTTCTCTAACCCTACTGCATGGGAGCTGCATCATTTTCTCAGTCTCAAGAAATTATAATGGACCGGGCTTTGGATGCTTTAACTCAATCAATAAATATTAGCTCTTGATTACAGTTTGTATGCTTGAGGTAGTTTAACCGTACTCTGCATGCTCAAGCAGCACTCTGGTGGTACGTTTTAACCTCAGACATCATAGATGTACTGAACTTGGTGGTGAGGAAGAAAAGCAGCTGTTGTTGGCCACTTTCCAGCCCTAACTGCTTCCATGGGTGATTTTCAGGGTTGCTGTTTGCTCTGGTGTCAGTCATTTTTCTCCTTCTGTGTCCTAACCTCACACTAACCTTCATTTAACACCACTAATACGCTTGCTATGAGCCAAGCGGCACATAGCACGTTCCGAATCACACATTTACATGCAATCACGTAACCTGACTACCGTCCGCATTCTCATCAGTCAATCATATAATCAATCAAGCTTTATTTATACTTGATACTTAACGCCAATAACACAGAAATAGATTTACAGAATTAAAATGAACCCGCCAACCTAAACGGCTCTTTCAAGTCATTAACAGTTCAGGTATCTTACTTCCCTTTAGGATTAATGAATATTCAGTTAAAGGAAAAGTCCGGTCAGCGGAATAATCAATGGATCATTATTTATACCTCAAACTAATATGTTCGCGTTTCTTTAATGAATTCTGTGTTAATCAGTAAAAAAAAATAAAAAATAAGAATCATTTTCATGACGATCACTGAGTCTGGGAGCGGCCATTTTTGCCCAAATATAGTAACCCCTCCCTCCTGCCATCTTCCAGCAGTGACGTCACGGTGCGGTAAGCCTAGCGCCATTCTCCCCGCTTTACAAGCTAAATCAATGGGAACTACTAGACACATCTGCAATCAACAACAATTATTGAAGATTTCCAGAGGACTTCACCATTGAAATTCACCAGAGCTATAGTGAAACTGACAATGCCCACGTGCATGGCAGCTGGATGCTGGAATACATCGGGTGAAAGTGAAAAAAAGAGTTATTCCACCTTTCTGATTCCTGATCCTCCACGGACGGGTTGGTCGTTGGATCGCCAACTTGAAGAGGGAGGATTTGCCATCGAACTTCTGGCCAGAGAAAAAACCCGTAATATGTAGCCAACATTTGGAAGAAGAATGTTTTCAAGATGACTTGGATAATAGCGCGTTGTGACAAACACCAGATACAGCACTGGGACTTGATCAACAGCCGATACCGCACCGTGACGTCACTAACCAGTAGGTGGCAGTAGTGTTCTTTGACAAACATGGATGCCTCCAGTAAAGCACATTCACATGAAAAATACTCTGAATTAAAAACACTGATCATTTATTGAACTGTTTGTAATAATCAAAAGTTTGAATTCTGAATAAGACCAGACTTTTCCTTTTAAAAAGCAAACAAACACATTATGATAAAAAAAAAAAAAAACATATCCAACAGAAATCTACAACTACACACTTATGGGGGGAAAATTGGTCATGGAAACCTAAAAAAAATAATTAAAATTTGATCAAAAGTATGAACAGTCAAATATTCGGAACAAAGTTATAAAGGAGCAAACATAATCTTTACTGCATCAGAAAAAGAAATGCTAAATAAAATACAAGGAAGGCCAAGCAAGACATAATACTTATATTATAGTAGAAGGGTAACATTTTTAATCTCAATCATTACATTCAACTTATAAATTCGATTTCAAAGAGTTTATAGCTAATTTACAGGCCAGTCTGTCTGGTTCTGCTGGAGATTTCTTCCTGTTAAAAGTGTGTTTTTCCTCTCCACTGTCGCTACAAGCATGCTTAGTGGGAGGGATTGCCTTCAAGTCAATGAGTCGATGCAATCAACTGGTTTTCCTTAGATAGAAAACTTTGAATCAATCTGACTGGATGATCTGGTGAACTGGAAAGTGACCTGAGATGACATGATGTGAAACGGCGCTATAGAAATAAACTGAACTGACTTAATATCAACCAAGACATAAACCATACTAGTTAGAATAGGCACATCACTAGTGCTCCTCTGTGTTAAACGTGAGGTTTTATAAGTCTTTTTGACCCAATGAACATTTCCTGATTTACAGAAATGAACTCAGATTGGATCAGAGCCAAATTTGCATCATTATCTTGCAGAATACTACTTAATACTGCATGCATTATTTAACCATCCCATATCCAATCAGGTCTCTATTGGTTAGCAGGTTACTGATGTCCATGTAAATGTCTGAAGCAACCTCTGTTCTTTGTGTGTTTTCCTCCATGTTTTGTCTTTATCTTTGGTTACCTACAGAAACGTTAAGTTTATTTATTTATTTATTTTTTTACTTACCAAGTTTGCTCAGATTTAAAATAATAAGACTCGCAATGAAATCATTTTTTCATTATGAATTTATTCTTTTTATAATCCCCTCTTCATACCTTACTATGATAATCTCTTCTGGTGTGACCAAACCTGTCAGCAACAGACCCCGAGACCAGTCACTAATGGGTCCCTCTCAGGGCAAAGCCTATAGATCCAGGAAGAAGGATGTCCTGTCTGTCCAGTGGTTTGTAGATTCACCATCCTGAGTCTAGTTCTCCCTCCCCATAGCATTGTATGCAAGGGAGAACGGCACACTCTGGAAACGGGGGTGATCCCTGCTCAGGGGACTGCTGCTGTAATCTGATGACTGGTTTAGCTCCTCCGTTATATATGGAACCAGAAAGAAAAGTCTAAAGCTGATTTTTATCCTCTGCTTTTATAATAATTGGAGGAATAGTTTGGATGATGTAAAAGTCGTCCTCTCTCCTGCCCAGCTTCTATTCGTAGAGCTTTGTCCATTTGGGTGGTTTATGAGATCGATCCAAACAATTCTGCATCTGGACTGCTGAGTGATTCAGAAATCGAAAACCTGAGATCAGCAAAGATAAATTCCTTCTATCTATCCACAGCTTTTCCGCGGACCATTAAAAGTTATTAAATTTTTTTTTTTTTTATATAAAGGCCTTAATTGGCATTAAAATGTGTTAAATGTGATTACGTGGCATTTCGAAAAGCTTTATAAAAAAAGTATATATACATATATATATATATATTAGGGATGGAACGGTTTATGAAAACCGTCCGAACCGTTCGGTTCGACTGTCTCGGTTCGGTTCGCGTGTGTTTCGTTCGGTTCATGCGCTGCTCCTTTTTCTCATAGGCGAAGCGTTTACACTCAAGAGCAGAAGGTGGCGGTACTGCGACCAAAGCCAACCACCAGTAGTAAACAAGAAGAAGAAGAAGCGAAGCAGCGTAGCCGGGTGTAGCAGAAAATAATCAGTTGTTGTGGAGAATTGTGTGGGTATGGCGAGTGGGAAAGAACAGGAGTTGGAAGAAGCGCCAACGGCACTTTATAGGTAGGGGTGGGTATTGGCAAAGAAGTCACGATTCGATTTGAATCACGATTCACATGCCATGATGCGATTCTATCACGATGCATTGCGATACGTGAAATATTGCGATGCTTTATTGATATTTTCACTGAACACTGTAAGAAACTGTTTTTACCTTCTTTGTTTTTAAAGCCAAAATGCATCCAAGCATCTGACTTCAAATGTGATGGAGCCGCAGGGCGAATTTTCTCACTGTCCTCCATGTTTTATTTCATATGACTCGTCGCACTATCCCGCGGCCAGACATGCTTCGACACAAAGCGTCAACACATCCGCAGCGCCATCTGCTGGACTGGAAGTTATATTCCACTTGGTTTGGCTGATGTGCGTCAACCATTTATGTATTTTATTTGTTCATTTATTTATTTTAATAATCGATTCTTGCCTTCAAGAATTGATGCAGTAGATCACAAAAATTAGAATCGTGATGCATCGTCATGACGATTATTTTGCACACCCTTATTCATAGGTCTGCTGTATGGGACCACTTTGCATTTAGAGTGACCTACGATGACGGCGGAAAGAAAGTGGTGGATAAAAGTGCAACAGTGTGCAAGCATTGTGCAACACGTTTTGTTTATGCTAACAGCAACAACCACCAACATGTCAGGCTAACAATCAACATATACGGAACGAAAACTGTGACCATGAAACCGTGAACCAAACTGAACCGTGGATTTTGTGAACCGTTCCACCCCTTAAAAAAAAAAAAAAAAAAAAATTATATATATATATATTTGGGACAGGGGGCTTGTAGAAAAGGCGGTGGGGTCCTGGTCTGTTATGGCAGCATTGGTGGTAGTAGAGCTTCCACCACTGGTCACACCAGAAGGAACAACCTTTAGGGAGACTCCTTGGTTTCAGACATCCACAGTTTCTTTGTTAACATATCTTTTTCTGTTATCACGCCTTATTTTACCACATTAGAAATATCCTGTTTTGCAAATTTATTCTTATGATTTGCATTTTCAAAAATATAAAAAGGATATTTAGTTTTCTCTGAACTTAAGTAGTGTCTTTAATTAAAAGTTACTGCAGGGTACTTTCTTGTAAATTTCTAGTTGATTTTCTAGAATTTGCAGACTTAAAATTTGATGAAACATAATTTCTTTGGCGCAGCTCATAGGTTAACTTTCTATAATTTTGTTCAAATATGCCAGGAATTAATTAAACAGCAACGTGCAGGAGCTTATTAATTTCAGCTTGGTTCCCTAAAGTGAGACCTGGGCTGCGTTCCAATTCATGGGCTGCGTCTTCCAAGGACGCGGTCTACCTAAAGAGCCGCATGCGGCTCCGGAGCCACTGGTTGCAGACCCCTGATTTGGATAAATCAAACATTATGGGCCACATATCTCACTCAGTAACCATTAAAATGACAATTTTAATTAATTCCAGACAGAACTATTCACATACTTGTACCCCATTTCCACTACCCTTGAAAAACCGATCCATGCCGAGACTGGTCCGAGCTCGGATCAGTTAACCAGGCCGAGCTCGGTTCTGACGACCGTTTACACATCACGCTATCTCGGTTCCTCGACTCCTCGCCTCCTAGTGACGATCTGCGGTATTACTGCCAGTATTGAAGGAGGAAATCAAGCAGTTGGTGGCGGTAATGCACCAAAAGGTGTTTGCCAACCGCCATAAAACACAAGAAGAAGAAGAAGACGAAGAAGGAGGGAATCGAGCAAATCAAAATTCAGAAAGTTATAATTGATTATTATTGCTGTACTTCGGTGTTTGCTGAGGGTCAGGCGAAGACGGCAACCTTTCGTGGATGTTTATAGTTGTTCTTCTTCTTTTTCTTTTGTGTTGGTTGGCAAGCAACTTCCGGAGGGGCAATACCGCCAACTACTGGAATGGACTGTGAATCGTGATGTGCAGCCAGACGGAGATGACGCGTTCTGCTCATGCGCTCTTGTTATCAGAGAACCGAGCCAGGGGAAAACCGAGCCGAGCCCACCTCTGGAACTGGTCTGCAGTTAGCGCGGTCCGGTTGTGTCTAGCTCGGTTCAGTTCTGTTTTCTTTTCATTTACACACGATAAGTTATCTCAGTTACTGAGCTCGGACTGGTCTCGGCACGGTTTTTCAAGGGTAGTGTAAATGGGGTATTGGATTATGTTAAACTGAAATTCCAATATTCACCACCGTTTGGTGCCATTTACCTTTTTCCTCTGATCATGGAGCAGCCGGCTTGCTGGGACTCGCAATGAATCCTGGGAAAACCAAGGCTACGTAGGATGCAACTGACCCATCCTTCAAATCGGACAAAAAGGAGGCATTTTAAGGCCGCATAACCAGGAGTCTTGGTACCTGACCAGACCTCACCGCGCTATGATGTAATCAGCCCAGGAATCTGGCCTTCTGAGGACGCAGCCCATGAACTTGAACGCACCCCTTGTTTAGTAACCTCACTGTTCCAGTTTGGCTGCACTGCAAAAATAATCTAAAAAGGACAAAAAATTCAGAATCTCTTGAAACAAAAACGGCAAACAATTTCCCTGCTTTTGTGCAGGTAAATAAAACAATATAGAGTTTATTGGCCCTGAAATAAGATGATTAAATATTCTGCACTGAAAATAAATATATATATATTTTTTTTCTTATTTTAATCAACCATCTTTACGCAAAAATTTTATTCTGTTAGCAGATCATTTTGCTTACCTACCAAAAATCAGGTGGAATTACATCATTTTGTAGGAAAATTGTACTTCCTTTCAGTTCCCTTTTTGCAGTGTAACCTGGGAAATCTGTGCCAAGCTATTCCTAGATTTGGGGAACTGTTATCTGTATCATACATTTCTGCCCACATTTTAGCAGAAGCGAGATGCATGTATAAAGCCAGCTTAATAGGTAATAAATAAATATTGCAGTTTTGGCATAGTGGCACATTTTTAACCCTTTTTTGCATTGTTTTGTGAGTATAATGCTCCCTCCCACACCCAGACTCCTTTACCCTGATGTTACCTCTGCCATGAAGGCAACATAATACATCCAGATTCCATCAGTGCCCCTCTTGTCTTCTCACAGCTGCTTTGTCTCATGTGCTCATCTCTCATTGCTTTTATTTTTGTCGTTGTCCCATCATCTGTGTTCATGTTGCAATGACTGGTTGCTCGACACCTCGGCAAATCGTAACCCTAAACTAGATGTACGACCCTGGAAGGCGTGAGCTCAGAAGCTCCACGGCCAGTAAAGAAGGTGGAGTCCAGGCGGGAGGGCTCCAGGTGTACCAGCCCCTCGGGTCCGCTGCAGGTAGGAGCTGGGGGGGGGGGGGTAATCAGCCTGGTGCCTTGTTTTACTGATTCCACCTATGATTTTAATATTTTTTGATATATCCAACCAATTTATTGGTTTAGCACAGCAGAAATGAACAAGAACATTTGTTGAGTTATGAGAAACAATCATAAAAATCAGCAGGTTGGTATCTGCCCTTTGCTTCCGATGACCTGAATGTATTCACCTCTGTTTCCGATTCTCTTTTCTCTCCTGCTTTTTTGTCTTTGTGTTTTAGGGCCCGGTGATATACGCCCAGTTGGATCACTCAGGCAGTAAAAATTCATTCCATAAGATGGAGCCCGTGGTCTACGCTGACATCCGCAAAAACTGAAGATGGGGACCAAAAAGCATTAAAAAAAAGAACGAAAAAAAAAAAAAAAAACACAGTATGAGACCTCTCTATTAGCTGCTCTTGGGAAGGGTGGGAAAGATTTAACAGGGACAGAATTGGTGCAGTTTCTCTCTTCTCCATATTTTGTCCTCTGACAGCATGTTATATGATACACTAAAGTCTTTAGATGTTGACATAAAAACATAGAAAGCTCAGAAAAACTCCAGTTGGCATCTTGACAGCATCTTAAAAAGGTTATCACAGGGATTAAAATGGAAAAAGTGACTTTAATGACATCATTCCTAGTGTAAACTATTTTATTTTAACCCTAGTATTGCCCCCCCTCACACGAGCCCAACAGATTTGCAGGCTGTTGCACCGATACCGATAAAACTGAAAGCAGAAAACAGGCAGAGATTTCTGTCTCTTTGAAGAATCGGTTTAAATGATTGAGATTAAGCTCTTTCTACATAGTTGCAGAACATAACTGCTTATAAACATATTAAAAACCAGTTTAATATCCCTTTTCATCAAAAGATGTGCATGCCACAACCTTAAAAGACTTGGAATATTTCAGTTTCAGGCAACAAAGGGTAACACGCTTTCATCTGACAAACGGAGGATAAATAGTCGGATGTCAGCTGACACCAGAGTATGGCTGAATCCCCCCCTCTGGGCCTTAATTCAAACCACCAATGATAATTGGGTAAAGTACACCCTCACCAAGCAGGAAACGCCCCACAACGTCTTTTAAAAAGAACAAAGTGTTTTTTATCAGATTTCCAACACACTGTGACAACATTTTTAGTTGCCTGAAGGTAGAACTCAATATAACACATTTCTAAAGGATAGTTAAAACAGATAAATCATTCCCTGCCGACGGACCGGCATCGAAACCTGGGATTTAAAAAAATAAATTTAAAAGAATCCAGGAGAAATGAAAGGTTAGAACCAGTTGCGATTATTATTTCTTTTCGATGCCCAGGCCTATGCCTGACGCAGCTTCTCGCTGCAAACTGCTCTGATGAACCGTAGAGCGAGTTACGTTCATCACTTTGGATAGACAGAGGAAACATGGTGGCTGGGGTGCAGCCTTTAAAAACAACCAACAATGCTTTATTTGGATAAAAGTTTTTCTTCAAAGACGCAACCTTTAATTGAGCCGGCGACATCAAGATGTTCACTCCCATTTCCTCCTTAAAAAAGAAGTCCCGTCAGCGAGGAATAATCAATGAATCATTATTTATACCTAAAACTAATACGTTTGCGGTGTTTTAATGAATTTAGCGTTAATTGGTAAATAAATTAACGTTAATTACCCAAATATAGTAACCCCTCCCTTCTGCCATCTTCCAGCAGTGACGTCACGGTGCGGTAAGCCTAGCGCCATTCTCCCCGCTTTACAAGCTAAATCAATGGGAACTACTAGACACATCTGCAATCAACAACAATTATTGAAGATTTCCAGAGGACTTCACCATTGAAATTCACCAGAGCTATAGTGAAACTGACAATGCCCACGTGCATGGCAGCTGGATGCTGGAATACATCGGGTAAAAGTGAAAAAAAGAGTTATTCCACCTTTCTGATTCCTGATCCTCCACGGACGGGTTGGTCGTTGGATCGCCAACTTGAAGAGGGAGGATTTGCCATCGAACTTCTGGCCAGAGAAAAAACCCGTAATATGTAGCCAACATTTGGAAGAAGAATGTTTTCAAGATGACTTGGATAATAGCGCGTTGTGACAAACACCAGATACAGCACTGGGACTTGATCAACAGCCGATACCGCACCGTGACGTCACTAACCAGTAGGTGGCAGTAGTGTTCTTTGACAAACATGGATGCCTCCAGTAAAGCACATTCACATGAAAATTACTCTGAATTAAAAAAAGCTTATTATTTATTGAAAAGTAATAATTTCATATTTAAAGAACTTTCAGAAGGATCAGGAATCAGTGACCCACCTTTTTGACAGATTAACTTCATAAAGGAATATTCCACCTAACATGGAAATATTTCACCCACTACTTGAATTCAGGCTGTGGGAGACACAGAAAGAGGGATTCAGCCAAACAAGCTCAGACCCTCTCAGAAGAAAACAGGTTCTGATCCTCCTTTCAGATCCAGATTTCATGGTGCTTATAGTCAACAGTGTTTACCCTGAAGAAATGCAGGCGACGCTTAACTACAAAAATCGATGGTGCAATGTAAACGTACAACGCCATGTGTGCTTTCTCTGAATCAATTTTCACCTGTGTAGTTATTTACTCTTACGTGATGGTGCATCTGTGTCCGACCATCGTTTGGCTCCCTGCTGCTAATGGTCGTTTGCTCTAAGTGTGGTTCTTTATGCTAATAGATATCAAACTAATCATTTATGACACTACACATTGCAGACTGATGAAACAGGCTTTTTTTTTTGGTTTGTGTGCAGCTTTGGTAACTACGGAAGCCGAGACCGATTTTTTCCTTTGCCTTCCCGAGATAACAAGATAATTATCTTGTTATTATGAGAAAACAGTTATTGATTTCTTTAGATAACGAGATGATTAATCTGTATGGGTAACGAATTAGGCTAGCCAACTTGGATTCCCAGTCCATCCATGCCTGCGGGGCCCATTTTTGTGCAGTCGTGGTACCGCATTAACCTGACTCCGCCAGATGGATTTGCTCCGCATATCCATCTGGAAACCTTCCGTTGAAGTAATTTTGGGAAGGGGCGAAAATACTGGTTAGCTGATTGGCCTATGTTGGTGATAGACGGGCCAAATAAACCAATCAGATCAACGAAGCATATGACGTACTAACAGAGCGACGACGAAGAGGAGCCAATTGATAGATCAAACTCTTGCCGAAACCAGTCGGGAGAAGAGCAAAAACATCTTTTCCTCTGAGAAAAGCCTCCAGAGCAGTGTTTTGCTCTTCTTTCAGTGAAGAAATACTCTGTAATTCCGATAAAACTTGCTCGATAGCCACGCTAACGCTAGTTTCATCGGCTGAAGCCGCCATGTTCTTTAGACTGAACTGTCGCGCTTCTCGTTGCGTCACACCTCAACCCGCCTCAAAGCCAACGCTGATTGGACGTTCGTTTGGTGAACGGCTCCAAATTTTCTTCAACGGAGAGTCTCCAGACTGATCTGCGAGTGAAAGCTTGTGAGATCAGGATGGCCTCACGAGGCTAGTACCGCATGTGAGCAAATAATCAGTTTTTTTGTTTCCTTTTCCTTTTCACTCATTGTCAGATCGTGGTGGTTGATTGGACTGCATGGAATACAGTAGAAACAAATCTGACTGTTTTATAATGAAAATCTGTAATTTGGACTCATTTTGGGGGTTAATGCATCTTATAGCTGTTCCAGGCGAAACACCAAGGCTGTTCAGAAACACCTGGAGGCATAGATCTAAGTCCTTATGAATCAGAAGTGGAAGCAAATCATCAAACCAACAACATCGTCTCGTTACCTAAAAGTTAAACACAGGATTATCTACAGAATTACTCATAGGCTGCCATTATATGTATAAATCCTCTCCAGCTGTTGTGGTATTGAGGGATTTAATCAGTTTTAACACTCACCAATCATCTCGTTATCACGAGAAAATGGCTTTGTTATCTTTAGATGATGAGAAAATGAACTTGTTTTTCTCGAGAAAACCACCGTGAAAAAGTATCTGAGGGACACCACCGCTTTCGGCTTCCGTAGGTAACATAACACTACCGATACAAGGTAAAAGTATTTCACTACTTTATCATATGCAATGGATAAAAATATGTTTTTATTTTTTGCTTTTGACAGCAACATACAATCTTCAGCTGCTTTAAAGAGTCAGATTTATAGTCAAATCTAAAACTGCATGAATTTGCAGAACATTAATAGTACTATTGCTGAAAAGCGCAATATCTACTTTCAGCCATAATGTTCCCTTATAAGGCCAGGAATCTTAGCCTACAAAGACGATGCATCTAAGCTGTTATCTTTTAACGACGTGGGGACTATGAGTTTGGCTCTTGTCAATGAGCAGGTTTTGGGGTAAAAATAAACTTATGTTAATATTTCTGGTGCAACAGTCTGCAGATTCCACAGTTGATCTCTCTCATGAGCAACTCCATGGTGTTCTTGTCTTATAGAGGCATATAGTAATGTATAGTTAGTAATTCGCCTGCTGACACGTTGCATGCAGTTCTAGTAAGATCTACGAAGTGAAGTCGGTACTGTTCACCATGCTAGTTTGTTACGCAGAAGCCGCCGCCCGACATTGTGCTACTGTGAATGCTTCAGCTCTCTGTGAAGTTCTGGCATGTTGTTGTGGTACCTTTTTATTCTTAAACTAAAAAAAAGACGACATATACTCCCTTTTTTGGATTTTCGCCTCAGTGGAACATTCAGACGATTAAGAGTTTTGTGTTAAATTGAATTGTTTACGAATGGTTATTTAGCTCAGTGTTAATCTGTTATTTTCTTTTTTTTAAACTACGCATGTTATTAAATGTTCAGCTGAGGTGAATTTATCTATTTTTTATGAAATCTCGGAGATGTCATTTTGCGTAACAAAACTTTTAAATACAGGGTTTTTTGCATGCAATTTACTAACAAAACAAGCATTACTTCCAAACGTCTCTTGTATTTATCATGTTTTTTCCTCATTAAAGGGCCAAATATGAACGGTTTTACTTTACAGATACTCTTAAGCTTTAAATGCATTCCATGTTATTTTGTTTTTATTTCCATTTAACGCATTTTAAAGCCAAATTTGTCGTAGAAGTGTGTCGATTTTTTTGTTATTTTTGCAACCAGTCGGAAAGCCATCAGCTTCTGATCCAGAATGCAGTAAAATTTCCACGTGTTTGTTTGTATAAGTTTGCTCACCAGTTGAAAATGTAGTGCTGTTTACTCTAACTCATTCCAGTGTGGTGCGCCTGTGGGTGTCTTTCCAGAGGAAGGGCAGTAGTTTGCTAAAGAGGTCAACAAAGATGCCGATTTCTCTGTTATTGTTGTTGTTTTTCCCTAAAGTCTTAAATCTTTGTAACCGGACACTCATA